GTAGTTAAATAGAATCATCTGAATGTAAAATTAGTAGTTATACAGTACTATATGCTATGTACATTTGTTTTTATTTTCCATTTTAATCTATTCCCTAAATTTCATGTATTTACAAATGTAATATAAAATAGTATATACCCCATAAAAAAATATTATATATCAAATGAAAAAAAAAAATCAAATATTATTATATCAAATGAAAAATAAAAAAATCAAATATAAGTTAATTAGAAAGTGTAATGAAAATAATAAAATTACATAATTTAGGATTTAAAGTAATATTATAATCATTATTGATTTAAATAATTGTAGAGCGAATTATAATCATGAAGAACTCGTGTTGGAGTTGGAGATGGCGAAACCAGAGAAACCGAAAACCAATGATGTGAATCTTCCTCCAACTTTCGGGTCGAATTCTTCCAAAATCCACCCGGCAAATGATCCGGACCTGACTCAAATTCATACTCCGCCTCTATGAAACACTTGCTGTAAGTTAGATTAATCTTCTTGTTGATGATCCTTAAGGAAGTCGATTTTTCTTTAACTTTTAATTTGGGATTTTTAGATTTAATCCCTTTGTCATTGTCAGTTACTCTATGTCGACTGACTTTATTTTTTGAAGCATGAGCTAATGAATGGAATCTCTTTGATTTTTTAAGTATTTTATGGAAATTAATTAGAAAACTTGGAGTTAGCTCTTCTAATGGACTATACAATGAACAAATATTTATTTCACTGGTCTTTTTGTTTTTTTTCTTATGATTATTTTCTAACTGAAAGGGGTTGGGGTTGCGAGACATCAATATATAGTTGATTGTTTAAGAGCTTATTTGATATTTTCACTATGATCTTACTATTCTTTAAATTTGTTCTCAGAGGTTTTATTTGATCGGAAGTGATAGGAACAAGAAGTTCTTTCAGGTATTAAAGATCGATCGAATGGAGCCTTCCGATTTGAATATCGGTGAAGATCCTATTGTCAAGAGCTTGCTCCAGAGGATTGCTCAGGGCAATCGTTCCACTGTCATCAGATCTGCATTTTTATGTTACATAAATTGCTTATTGTCCTCGTGTAGTCTTATGATCTTCTGTTCTTGTCCGTTGCTGTATATTATAGGCTGCATTAAACTCTTGGAGTCGTACTATCTGATCCTGGTGACAAGGCGGGGCCAAATTGGGAGTGTATGTGGTCATGCGATATATAGTATAGATGAGAGTCAGATAATTACCATTCCTCATGTTTCAGTTCAAACTGATATTGCTCATTCTAAAACTGAGCTACTGTAACTTCTTTATTTTCTTGTTTACTCGTTCATCATTGTATTGAAGTCATTAAACAAGTTGTTGTGTTTCATGTTTTTCGGTTTTCCCATGCTCCCGTGACTTAAAATGGGTTCGATCATCAACACCCATGAATAATTTTCCTGGATGTTTGGTGCATGGTTCTGGTAGCAAGTGAATTAATATAAGCATTTCATGAGAGTGAAATCTATGTTAATATGATTATTTTTAACACATTTTCATAATTGGCAAAATTTGCTTCATATGCACAGGTACAGTGTCGATTTGACGAATCATTTTTTCTTTAGCTATACATATCCTATAATGCAAAGTTAAAGAAAAATGTGTTATCAATTGGTGAGGAATGGATGCCTTATGATAACATGTTTGTTTCGAATGCATTTCTGACACAAACGATTCGATCAAGATGCAAGAACACCATTTGTTCTATACCTCTGGTAAACAGTCATCTCTCTCTCCCTCCCTCCCTCCCTCTCTCCCTCGCATGGGGTCCAAAATTCTGTATTGCTTGTTTAGGTTTTCTAACGTACGACTTCTAATCTACAATATTGTGTAATTATGAGGTGGAACAATTGAAATCACTTGTTCAACATACCTATCTCCTTCGATGGAATTTTCTGTATACAATTGATTGCAGGTTAGGCTATCAATATTTGGAAGAGAATTTAGCGTTTCTCTAGTTTCCAGACGCTCTCGCCATTTTGCTGGGACACGGTAAAACTTATTTCATAATTTTAAGCTTTCTGCCTTATTGCTCATCTCAAGGCTCATACATTCTTTGTTTTCTGTAAAACGAGGAGAGAACTTGCCAGTTTTTCCTTTGATTATCTTGTTTATTTTGAAAATAAATAGGTTGCTTTGGAAGCTGGATTAATGTTTCTGCTTGTCTTCTTCTATTGATCTACATATGCCAAAATGGTACTTGCACCAATGAATTGGGTCTGCTTTCACCAATGAATGAGAACTTTTGTTTGCAATTGTGTGTCTATAACTCTCATGTTTGTGAAGATTTTGCATGGAGTGTAACTAAATTAGCAGAATATGGATTTTTTCGTTCATGTGCCATGCTCTTGTTGGTAGCCAAATTATGCTCTTGTTGGCAACCAAATTATATTTATGATGATATTTAAGTCGTAAAGTTCAAAAGTAAATGTTATTTGCTTCCTGTGCAGTTATCTAAAACGCGGAGTTAATGATAATGAGCGGGTAGCCAATGACGTTGAAACGGAGCAGATTGTGCTTGACGAAGAAGCTGGATCATGCAAAGGAAATTGAGTTTTATGCTTTCAATAGTCTTGTTCATACAGTTTATAGTTTGAGCTGCTGTTTGTACACAATTTGACTTGTTGATCATATTTTGTTTATAAACTGAAGTGCAACGTTATGATCCTACATACGAAGCAACAAAAATTCATTTTGATGATCTGGCAAGAAGATATGGAAATCCAATCATTGTTCTTAATCTGATTAAGGTATGTGACATCATTTACTGGCTTGGGTTAAGCACCTGATGACTGTCGAGTTTCATGGTTTGCTTTTTCCCTTTTCCGTTAATGATTACATCATTATTCTTTTTCCCTTTTCCGTTAATTCCACCGGTAAGGGAGGGTGAGTGTCTCCCTCAAGGATCCTACTGAGTTTGATTTTAACATAAGACTGCTTTCTACAGGGACTCTTCTCTTAGAGATTTAAGAGCTAGTTCTGGAGATCTTTCAAGGGTTGGTGGTAGCACCGATACCTTGACTAAGCAAGATAAGGATTCTGAAAGTAATCAACATCGTAATCAAGACTTTAATGCTAATTCAGCACCGCGATTTCAAAGTGGATTTCTTCGTACACACTGCATTGACTGCTTAGATCGGACAAATGTTGCCCAATATGCTTATGGCTTAGCAGCTCTTGGACGCCAACTTCATGCACTGGGGTTGGCGAACGATCCAAAAGTGGATGCTGATAGTAGCATTGCTGCTGCTTTCATGGATATGTACCAGAGCATGGGTGATGCATTGGCACAGCAATATGGTGGCTCTGCAGCACACAATACTGTATTCATTTCTTACAAGACGCCCAATTATGCGATTATACTATTTTCTATACCTGCCTTTTGGGAATGGAGAAATTTTGACTAAATGCTTAGTTTGATACAAAATCGTAGGTGTTCACAGAAAGGCAGGGAAAACGGAAAGCTACGACACAGTCTAGGAATTTCTGACGTCTTTAAAGCGATATTACAGCAATACTTAAACAGATGGTGAAAAGCATGACGCTATAAATTTGTGAGTTCTGAATTTGTTTAATCCTAGAGCTGTCTTGAAAAAGGTCTTATTTAGTCAGGCAGATTCAACTAGAGGAGTTTTGAGACTGTATATTGAACCGTGAATTTATGGTCTCGTGTTTTTATGTTTTGAAGTCTGTTTTCTGATGGTTTACACAGATTTTTGGGTTACTTCATGCCTCAAGAAGGAAAACCTGCGCTGTGGGAGTTGGATTCCGATTATTATCTTCATGTTTCTGGGATTGGAGATGATCGTTTGCCTGATAGGTAATTCTCGGTTTTCACTGAAGCACCTTTATCCTATAATTGTACTATTTATAGGAATTATCAAAGTTTGAGCAATTTCTTAGATGTTTGAAGTTCAAGACAGTTGTAACGAATGCAGCAGCATGTTCTATATAATTGTTAGAATTGATGGTGCAGTAAAACATTTTTCACCGGGTGGTGATTTTAATTCTTGCTAACTGATCCATTCAGTGATATATTTTCTGTGTTGATTGGCAGTCCCTTGGATGATGCTAAGTAGCAAGAATTCCTTTGACCCCAATTCCTGCTTGTCGAGAGGACTTCTCGCGCATGAAGTTGACATCATTTGATAAATTGATAGAAAGAACATGTAGTGCCATCAAGAATGTACGACTCTGCAGTGAGCTAGATCAAAAATCAGGAAACTTTGGTGTGGCACCTGATGCAGCGTGAGTAGCTACTTTAGCTGAGAAATTATGCTCTTTATAATTAAACTATACTATATACATTTAGCTTTTATTAATTTAAGCAGCAATAAAAACATTTATTTCTCAAACACTTTAGTAGTAATTGTTTTACCAACCGGGAGAAACTTGATCCGTCTGTTTAAAACCCATTTTGTTATGATTTAATTTTATGAACAACTTTTATTTATGATTCAACGACCTATGTTGAGGCTTATATCTATTGCAGTGAAATACAACTCTAGAGTCCCCCTCCTGAAGTTGTTAAGAAGATTTTTAAAGCTTTTGCAGGCGATTTTCTCCAAGAATCCATCGTGTTATCTGGCACATAAGAGACGCTGTACGAGATAGAGTTTGCCTTGTATATCCTCAAAAGTGCAATAGGCCTCGAGAAAATGCACATAAGTAAGCGTTGTAAGGAAAATCAGGGAATATACAAGGGATCTGGCCGTTGGGTCTGGCCACGTGCTGCAGCGCCATGGAGTAAAGAGGACCGTAGAAAGATTCAAAGGAAATTACAAGGAAAAGCAGTTTCCCCTACTGCACAACTCTGTATTCAACACGACCCCATGAGAAACAACAATGTAACTTATTATCCGTCGACGAACTGTTGAAAAACACGTTTTCGTTTGTGTCCATAACAATTTTTCGAGCTGTTGTTATTTTGTCACATTTTGATAACAAAATAACATATATTTCTGAAATAGAATACATAATGAAATAATGATTTTATTCATTAGAGGATCTGAATTGCAGAAATGCAACATTTGCCAATCATAAAAACACAATACTTGCAAGATGCATATTATTTGAGAGGTTAAGATCTCTCTCTGTTATATGACTGGTTTATATATACATATATATTAATTATTAATAAAAAAATAAAATAAAGGCATTCCAAAAATATCCCTGGATATAGATACAAACTTACAAGAACAAGAAGATTTTTAAAGCTTTTGCAGGCGATTTTCTCCAAGAATCCATCGTGTTATCTGGCTTGGATCCATAACAAGAGCACTACACGACTTGGGGAAAATCCCAAGATCGGAACCTGCCTGAACATATCCATTGAGAGCAGCTTCCATCTCAGCCTCTACATCAATGTCATGCATGCAATTATTATCGACCATGTTCCCTCTAAGAAGATCACTGTAGTATTTTTCCTTCTCCATATCATTTTCAAACGGTTCCATAGCGGGGCCCTGCAGTAATTAATACCATCAACAAATAATTTATCGCGTACGATAAAATGTACGATTAAAAATAGTCAAAATAGACTAATAATAAATAAAAAAAAGTCGAGCATCTTTCATTTGAATTCACCAGATGTTTGTATGTATTTCAAGTTTTTCACGTAAGGGAAAGCGTTTATCGTAAGTTTCGAGACACATCAGTTCATCCGAAGGAGGAGCTACTTTATCTCCATACACTAAAGTCAATATTATGACGATTTCCTACTAGTATATGTTTAATGGTCCACAAGTTTATGTTTTAGATTAAGTGGAGGATTTCGTATACCTGAATAAGTTCAGCGTAATGTTGGTATATCTCACTGTTTTCATCTTGATCACCAAGCAAAGTACCACCATACCAACCATTAGCTTCATCGACTGTTGTCATTGCTAGGTATCTACGTAAAGGAAAGGAACTCTAAACATGAAAGGAAAAAAATTAAAAAATCGAGAAGCGAAAAAACATTAAAAGAAGGGCAAGGAAATTACTGTCTGAAGACATCTTCTTCATTGGTCTCAACAACTGGAGAAAACAAATTAAGGTCACTTAGACCATCGATTTTCCTGTTATCGTGAGTTCCCCCTTTTGTAAGTTCGTTGGAATTCAATTTTGGTGCAGTGCTACTATCCTCGTACTTCCTCTGTCCGAAAAGCCAGTTTGGACTCTTGAGTTGTATTTCGCTGCAATAGATATAAGCCTCAACATAAGTCGTTTAATCGTACAAAACATTGAGGTGTATTTTCTCCCATTATTTATTCAGCAAAAGGCAGATTTTCCTGCAATAATCTAGACTGGAGAACAACAGCAAACTAATATATACTACATAAATAAATAAAAAATCTAAAAATAATTAATTAAAAAAAGTCTCAGCTACTTACGCTGCATCAGGTGCCACACCAAAGTTTCCTGATTTTTGATCTAGCTCACTGCAGAGTCGTACATTCTTGATGGCACTACATGTTCTTTCTATCAATTTATCAAATGATGTCAACTTCATGCGCGAGAAGTCCTCTCGACAAGCAGGAATTGGGGCTAAAGGAATTCTTGCTACTGAAGGTTTAACGTAATCCAAGGGACTGCCAATCAACACAGAAAATATATCACTGCATGGATCAATTAGCAAGAATAAAATCACCACTTGGTGAAAGATGTTTCACTCTGCCATTAATTCTAATAATTATATAGAACATGCTGTGGCTTTCGTTACAACTGTCATTGAACTTCAAACATGTGGGATATTGCTAAAACTTTGATAATTCCTATAAATAGTACAATTATAGGAGATATAAGGTGCTTCGGTGAAAATTGAGAATTACCTATCAGGCAAAAGATCATCTCCAATCCCAGATACATGAAGATAATAATCAGAATCCAACTCCCACAGCGCAGGTTTTCCTTCCTGAGGCTTGAAGTAACCCAAAAATCTGTGTAAACCATCAGAAAACAGACTTCAAAACATAAAAACACGAGACTATAAATTCACGGTTCAATATACAATCTCAAAACTCCTCTAGTTGAATCTGCCTGACTTAATAAGACCTTTTTCAAGACAGCTCTAGGATTAAAGAAATTCAGAACTCACAAATTTATCGCGTCCTGCTTTTCACCATCTGTGTAAGTATTGCTGTAATATCGCTTTATAGACTTCAGAAATTCCCTAGACTGTGTCGTAGCTTTCCATTTACCCTGCCTTTCTGTGAACACCTACGATTGCAACAAGCTAACCATTTAGTCGAAATTTCTCCATTCACAAAAGGCAGCTATAGCAAATAGTATAACTGCATAATTTGGCGTCTTGTAAGAAATGCATACAGTATTGTGTGCTGCCGAGCCACCATACTGCTGTGCCAATGCATCACCCATGCTCTGGTACATATCCATGAGAGCAGCAGCAATGCTACTATCGGCATCCACTTTTGGATCGTCGGTCAACCCCAGTGCATGAAGTTGCCGCCCGAGAGCTGCTAAGCCATAAGCATATTGGGCAACGTTTGTCCGATCTAAGCAATCAATGCAGTTTGTACGAAGGACTCCACTTTGAAATCGTGGTGCTGAACTAGCATTAAAGTCTTGATTACGATGTTGATTACTTTCAGAATCCTTATCTTGCTTAGTCAAGGTATCGGTGCTACCACTAACCCTTGAAAGATCTCCAGAACTAGCTCTTAAATCTCTAAGAGAAGAGTCCCTGTAGAAAGCAGTCTTATGTTAAAATCAAATTCAGTAGGATCCTTGAGGGAGACACCCACCCTCCCTTACTGGTGGAATTAACGGAAAAAGGAATAAGAATAAAATATAAAGAAGCACAAAAACTATTATATGCTTGAATGGAACCCCAATTTTTTTCCTGGTAAGGATTCACTTTCTTCCATCTCTTTATAAGAATGGGTATATTCAATAAAATGTATCACAATTTTCCTGGCTTTTCTATTCTGACATGTAAATTTGGAGAAACATAAGAAAATCATGATTAAATGGTTCTCAAAGGTGAAGAACTGGAGATTAACAAAACCAATATCAGAGTCGTTGATTCAGGCCTTCAACATAGAAAAACCAGAAATAGAAGCAGACAAGATATTGCATGAGAAATAAACGTAAATCGAGCAAAGATAATAAAATACACCTTGCAGTGCTAGTCCGAGCAAGTTGGATAGCCCTTTTTTTCACAACCAAAGGTTTTCCACTGTAATAAATTCCAGTTAAATCAAGTGCTTCGCTTGCAACTCCACCCAAAACTGCCAAAACATTAGCAGACTTGCTGGAAAACCATAGGAAACAGTTAGTCGAGTCGAGAAAGGATAGCAAATACACCGTCAAATATGACCTTAATACCTCTTCGCAAATTTGTGAAAGTCCCAATGGATAAATTTGAGATGATTATCTTCAGAAAGAATCTGGTTCAGATACCCTACTGCATTAGCAAACTCACGCCTTAGCATCATTTCTCGTGGTCTTTTTTCAACTGTCTGTTATTAAGTTAGAACGTAAAAAGCAAAGGAGCAAGTTAGACTTATGCCAAAACATAGACCGGAAAAAACTTGATCTCAGCTTTAGAACAGAAAAGCGAACCATGAAACTCTACAGTCATCAGGTGCTTAGCCCAAACCAGTAAATGATGTCACATACCTTAATCAGATTAAGAACAATGATTGGATTTCCATATCTTCTTGCCAGATCATCAAAATGAATTTTTGTTGCTTCGTATGTAGGATCATAACGTTGCACTTCAATTTATAAACAAAATATGATCAACATGTCAAATTGTGTACAAACAGCAGCTCAAACTATAAACTGTATGAATAAGACTATTGAAAGCATAAAACTCAATTTCCTCACATATAATATCAGGTTTAGGACTGAATCTTGAAGCCTCTTGCGACCAGAATAGAGGAATAGAACCCCTCATTTGTACAACAGAACTCATTTTTCCTTTGCATGATCCAGCTTCTTCGTCAAGCACAATCTGCTCTGTTTCAACGTCATTGGCTACCCGCCCATTATCATTAACTCCGCGTTTTAGATAACTGTGTCAAAAGCAAAGAACACTTATTTTTGAACTTTATGACTTACATACCATCATAAATATCATTTGGCTGCCAACAAGAGCATGGCACATGAAAAAAAAATCCATATTCTGCTAATTTAGTTACACTGCATGCAAAACCTTCACAAATGTGAGAGGTATAGATAGGGGTGAACATAAACCCGCCAAACCCGACCCGCCCGCCCGACCCGAGCCGATCCGCCCGCTACCCGCCAGTTTTGCATATTAAAATATTGCTGGCAGTTTGGTATTATGGTAACCCGCATGGTGTGGGTCGGGTTTCGGGTTTGACAATTAAAACCCGTGGCCCGCCCGACCCGCCCGCATCAATCATCATATATTTATATTAAATAACATGTAAATCTATGTTTTAGTGTTCAGCTACCCCTTCTTCCCCCATTTCTCATCCGATTCGTAATACACCAGGAATAAAACACAGAGAAACGGGATAACCAAATGTACCCAAAAATAAATTCTTGAATCTTTCAAGTTTAATTGGAGAAAGGATACGCCTTTGAATTAGGTTTTTGTAATGTAGGATTTGTTCCACCAAAACGGATTGATAGGGAATGAATGTTTTTTTTTTTTTTTTTGAAGAATTGCAGTCTCCAAGGAATGTTTTCATGAGATTTCTTAAATTTTGTCAATGCATTTGTTGGTATTGCGTATTTTTTCGACCCGCTAACCCGCCCGCCACCCGCCCGTAACCCGCTACACCCGAACCGTGCGGTTTGTGATTTTAAATAAGCAGATGCGGTTGGCAAAATTGGTAACCCGCCGGCGTCGTGTCGGGTTGATTTTTTTACGAAAACCCGCCCAAACCCGCCCGCGTTCACCCCTAGGTATAGACTAGGGGTGTAAACGAGCCGAGCTCGAGCCGAGCTCGCCTCTTTTGGCTGGCTCGAGCTCGAGCTCGAGTTTATTTTGTCGAGCTCGAGCTCGAGCTCGAGCTCGCGAGCTCCTCTCTTTTGGGCTCGAGCTCGAGCTCGTGTCAGTTGTGTCGAGCTCGAGCTCGAGCCCATTGTCTTTTTTTTTTTTTTTTTTTTTTTTAAATATTTTTTTAATTATTATTTTATTATTAAAAAATATTTAAAAAAATAAAAAATAAAAACTAAATTGTAATTATATATATTTTTAATATTTGTATTTATTTCTATAATATTTTACATTATTTAAATAAAAATAACATATAAAAAATAAAAAAAAAATAAAAAATAATAATAAATCCGGCTCGCGAGCCGGCTCGCGAGCTCATGAACAACTGAAAACCGGCTCGAGCTCGGCTCATCAGAAAGCTCGAGCTCGCGAGCTCGAGCTCGAGCTCGAAAATCTCGAGTTCGAGTTCGAGCTTTTTACGAGCCGGCTCTTCGAGCTCACGAGTCGGCTCGGCTCGTTTACACCCCTAGTATAGACACATAATTGCAAACAAAAGTTCTCTAGATGAGGAATAGACGGCACGAAGAGAAAGAGGTGAAAGCGATGTAGATCAATAGAAGAAGAAAAGCAGAACATTAATCCAGCTTCTAGATGCAATTTATTTATTTTCAAAATAAACAAGAAATAAAAGGAAAAAAAACTGGCAAGTTCTCTACTCACTTTACATAAAACAAAGAATTTACGAGCCTTGAGATGAGCAATAAAGCAGAAAGCTTAAAATAATAAATAAGTTTTACCGTGTCCCAGCAAAATGGCGAGAGCGTCTGGAAACTAGAGAAACACTAAAATCTCTTCCAAATATTGATAGCCTAACCTGCAATTAATTGTATAGAGAAAATTCCATCAAAGGAGATAGGTATCTTGAACAATTGTTCCACATCAAAATTACAGAAATATTGCAGATTTGAAATCCTACGTCAGAAAACCTAAACAAGCAGTACAGAATTTTGGACCCCATCCATATTCCAATAATTCATAGAACGAGACAAGCAAGCAGATTTTAGTTTAAAAAAAAACAAAGAGAGAAGGTCGAATGCTTAAAACTAAAATAACCAACCTGTTTAAAATTCCCATGAACCAGAGGTATAGTCCAAATGGTGTTCTGGCATCTTGACCGAATCGTTTGTGTTAGAAATGAGTTCCAAACAAACATGTTATCATATGGCATCCATTCTTCACCCATTGATAACACATTTTTCTGTAAACTTTGCATTATAGGATACGTATAGCTAAAGAAAAAATCATTTGTCAAATCAACACTGGATAAAAGCTTCCTATACCTGCATATGAAGCAAATTTCGCCAATTATGAAAATGTGTTAAAACTATCATATTACCAAACACACATTTCACTCCCATGAAATGCTTATATTAATTCACTTGCTACCAGAACCATGCACCAAAAATCCAGGAAACATGTTCATGGGTGTTGATGATCGAACCCATTTAAGTCACGGGAGCATGGGAAAATCGAAAAACATGAAACCCAATAACTTGCTTATAGACATCAATACAATGATGAACGTGTAAACAAGCAAATAAAAAAGTTACCGTAGCTCAGTTTTAGAATGAGCAATATCAGTTTGAACTGAAACATGTGGAATGGTAATTATCTGACTCTCATCTATACTATATATCGCATGACCACATATGCTCCCAATTTGGCGCCGCCTTGTCACCAGTATCAGATAGTACGACTCCAAGAATTTAATGCAGCCTATGATATATAGCAACAAACAAGAACATGAGAAAATAAGATCACACAAGGACAAAAGGCAATATTTGTAACATAAAAATGCGGATCTGATAACAGTGGAACTCATACTAACGCTGATTTTCTAGACTTACCAACAATGCCATATACCTTGGCAACAAAGCTTAACCCTCCAGTGGCACGATTGCCCTCAGCAATCCTCTGGAGCAAACTCTTGACTTCTTGAGGCGGATAAACAACGGGATCTTCACTGATATTCAAATCAGAAGGCTCCATTCTATCGATCTTTAACACCCGAAAGAACTTCTTGTTCCTGTCACTTCCAATCAAATAAAACCTCTGCAAAAAAATAAATGTAAAGAATAATAAGGTTGAGTTGATAATACCAAACAAGAGAGTTGCCTTTTAACTCTTGAAATATCCAAATATATTCATGTCTACTAAATCCTAATAAATTCCAACAATGAAAGAACAAATTGCTGAGTGAAATCAACATGTGATCACTGTACAATAGACTAGAAAAACTGAACTCCAGGTTTTCTAATTAATATCAATAAAACAAATAAATCCTGATCGCGCATAAACACTGAGTTAACACGAAAATCAAAGGGATCCAATTCATTGCCTTATGCTCAAACAAAAAAAAAATCTATTGGCATAGAGTAAACTTACAATTGCAAAATGATTAAAACCTGATAAAGAATCAGCTGATCACGCCCTATTCTAAAAAATTCCCAAATCACAAATTAAAGAATAATTGACTTCCTTGAAGCATTAAAACAAAAGTTAATCGAGCTTACAGCACGGGTTTCATAGAGGCGGAATTTCTCCAAGGAGTATGAATTTGGGTTGGGCGGGGTGTCCGGGTCATTTGCGGGGTGGATTTTGGATGAATTCGACCCGAATGCTGGAGGAAGATTCACTGCATTGGTTTTCGGTTTCTCTGGTTTCGTCATCTCCAAATTCAGTGCGCGAACTGAACGATTGTTGTGCGAATACTAATTTATGCGAATATTTATTTATTAAAGAAAAAAAAAAGATAACCCGTAAAAAAAGTTATGTATTAAAAATTAATTTGAAGTTCATATGGGAAAAATTACAAAAATCAAATTAAAAGATTGGAGTTGAATCTTGTTTCATTATCGGTCATTTTTTGATCGTAATTGATCGAGTTAGGAAAATAATGTTTTTTCTATACTAGTATAAATGTATGATATATTAATATTTAATACTATACAAGTGTAATTTTTGACAAAAAAAAAAGTGTAGTAAGTTGGAATCTCATGTACGTTTCAATTCAATACAAAAACTTCGAATAATATCGAAATTTTTCAAAATTCGGAATGGTAATATTGGGAATTATAACAGTATAGTAAATTGGAATCTCATGTACATTCCAATTCAATACAAAAACTTCGGAAATTCGAATTTTTTCAAAATTCGAAAAATCAAAGAAACTGTTAAAGCAAAGAAAGAAAGAGTACAATTCTTGTACAAACATATCCTCCCACTAATTCTTCTACAAACATATCCCACTAATTATTCTTCTTATCCCAAAATGTCGATTTAAGCTTCGACAAATCTTTCAACATGATCCCTGCCGAATGCACTTCCTTGAGAAATGACAAACCATATCTCACTAAACCGGTGAGAAGATATCGGGTCGACGTCTCATAACCAATATACCACCCTACACCTCCCCCGAGTAAAATAAAAACGAGAACCCCTACCACCATCGTCAACAAGCTAGATGATCGTGTTCCGGTCTCCAAGCTAGAAGATTGTGTTTCGGTCTCGTCTTCCCTAAGAGGAGGGGTACCCACAGAGAAGTCTCGGAGGAGCCTATGTTTCATTCGTAGCCGGATATTTTGAGCAAGTGCTTCGACCAATGCAAATCTCCCAATTTTGCTTCTGGGGACATCTTCCAGAATACGTTTCAAACTGATGAACTCTTTTTCCCAATCAACTTTCATTTCAAGCGTACCGTGATATTCATCCATAGTTAAACATTCAATCATAGCAACCCACGGAATGTTAGATATACTTGTAGGTCCATTACCTAACAATAGATCCTTCACAGCAGCCAGGACGTATGGTTTCGAAGATGCTTCATCGATCTTGGTAATCACACCAACAGTTCTTGTGCCTGAGTAACAGTAGCAAATACATGTTATTATAAATACATAAGTACATTACTTCAATAAAAACAATCAGAAAATAGTCACTATCTATTCAAGATTCACAAACAAAGATAAAATGGATATCGCAAACCCACATTCTGCATCATAGTCCTTTGCGATTTGGATAGCCTGAGCTGAGAGCACATTTGGAGCTTGATCAGCAGGTATTACAACCAGCAATACCACATCATTGCCTTCAGCGTACTGTCTCTGCAAAGAATAAATAGCCTATCACACTACCGAACAGATATTAATTCAACTATTACTATTAGTTCAGTCAAGGTCCAAAGGGTAGAAGTTTAGCAACATTTCGGAGGGCCACAACATTTAACTATCCAGATGGGTTTAATTGTATCTCAACCTCATTTACAATTTGTGTACCTTCTCTCTCAAATTTCAGTTTCAACAGCAACCTGTTTAGCATGAATTAATCCTATTGAGAACTAGTTTCGAGTAAGAGTCAGAAAGTTTCACATATGAAAAACTAGTTTAGGGATTGCTAATTCTACACTAGTTTCAGAAACATTATAAGAAATAGACTTGTTGGTTTCTTGCGGAAGATACTTTATAAAAAATGCTGTTCAGAAGCCCCTTACCAATGAATGACCAAGAATGACGTTGTCTACACCAGGCAAATCAGCCAATTTTAATGGTGGAGCTGCAAAACATGGAGATCAAATCTTAGATAACTATACAAATGGCAAGACGTTTTATTGTCGTGTGATAACGAAACAGTATATAGTTTTATATAATGTAAGAAACATATGTTATGAAGTAAAAATAAGTCACAAATATTTTTACGAAGTTTAATGTAATAAGATTTTTTTTTTTGGCCATGCTGACCTAGATAACCAGGTTTTTAAGTATCCGTCTAAAAGTAACTCGTCTTTGCAATAAAAGATACATCATCGATTTTCACCTCCATGAAAAATGAAGATGACTTCACATGATACTGAGTTTAAAATTTATTTTAATAATCCTTGTTACTGCATGAGTAGAATTTATGTTTCCTGGGTAAATTAAAAAACATAAACAAAGATCAGAACCTATTTGTCAGTGTAGTAAATTGGAGTAACAATAGCAGACATACCTGTACTTGTAATAAGCTTCAAAATGTTCTGACCAGAGTTTTCGCTCCATTTCGTTTGTATCAATCTCCGAAGTGAACCTAAAACAGGCAATACATAAAAGAAGAAAAAAGATCAGCATAATGAGATAACCAAATGGCAAACATATTTCACATTCACAAATAATTGATAGGGAATAGTGTGCCTAAACTGATTCTTATACTCTAAAATTAAAGTTCGTTTAGAGGCCTCACATGGACACCTTGAAAGTAAAGATGGTGGATTGATGATGGTTTTGCTACCTAGTGATCTATCCCTTATCAAATCAACATATGTCGGAGCATGTGTTGCACCACCTTCACCAGTCGGCTGCAAAATGAAAGGGTACCGTAAGAGAAAGTAGTTTTCACATGGAAAAAAGTCAAAGTTGGGACTGGTAATTCAATGAAGAATCTAAAAACACGCATAATTACCAATACAGGATGCCCAATTAGACTATTCAACACCGCAGACTTACCTGCACCCTGAAGAAACAGTTCACAATCAGAAATAAAGTATGACGAAATAGACATTGACATAACATGATGGTAGATCGAATTGAACAATTTCAATCCACATACTTGAAATGCACACATGCCGGCGCACTATTTACAATAATCCCAATATCTTGTAACATATTTGTTTCAAATAGCATAGGAAAAAGTGAACGGATCAAATACTTAATTGAAAAGCAATCTTGTATCAGTTTTTATTTACAGCTTGTCTATATCAGGGGATACTGGTTTCAGTCACGACTATCATAATCATCCACCAATCTACTCGCAAACAGCAGAAAGACATAGGCATAAACATTAAAAACTATAATGCTCTATGCATCTACATCTTTAACAAGATCAAAAGCCTGTTCAAGGAAGAAATGCAATATTTATCCAGTGACTTCAACTACCTATTAAAATTGCCGCAAAAGATAACTCATATAAATGAAACATAACATATATATCATACGACCTCATAACTTAAATATATTGTGTGCATCTCTTATTGAATGTAAATCTCCTTTATATAGGATTTACACAAAACCCTAAATCATATGCAATTCTAATTCTAAGTTACCATTAAAAGCAAACTACCTAAAATACAATAATATCCAACGAATATACATATAACTGTTACCAGAAACCCTAAATTCATATACACTTCTAAGTTACCATACAAAACAAATTACCTAAAATACAATAATATCAAACGTATATACATATAACTGTTACCAGAAACCCTAAATTCATATACAATTCTAAGTTACCATACAAAAAACATTACCTAAAATACAATAATATTCAATATAACTCATACAAATGAAACATAACAGAGATCAGGTTACTAAATCTCAAAATTGAATTGCAATTCAGACTGTCTAATTAATCATACTTACAGTATCGCCGAGAGCAATAACATTGAGGAACCGCGACGGCGTTTCATGCACATCTTCACCGGCAAGCAGCTCGGACAGAAATGGCAACGAATCGGAGAGGTGCGACAATTTTGCCATATACATAAGTTGTTTGGGGCCAAATTGCATTTAAGAATAACTAATTTTGTCATTCGTTTGTCCACCATAATTCAGTTCCATAGTAATACTAATATGTAATAAAAACATGAGGTCGTTTAAGATAAGCACTTATATGCGACTTCTGATTTTTCCGATTTTAGAATAAGTTTTTTCATTATAATTTTCGAAATTTCGAGTTCCGTTTTTTTTCCGACTATTTGGATCGAAATTGATGTAAATTTTCACTTAGCTTAAGAAAAATTGGAATATTTGCGATGGAGCTAATTCTTGTTCTGGTTCGATCTGTCCGCCATCATATACTGAGTTCGGAACGGTGCGAACAGTAAGGAAGGAAATCACTTGTCGATTTTGGAAGCACTTGGCGAACTTTTTGGTTATCGAAGTTTTCTTCCATTAACAAATACGGCTTCAAGCTTCTGGCCCTAACTCGTTGGTGGTTCTTTATAGAATGAATCCATTCGTCGTCTTCAAATCAATCTAGCCAGAAGATATTAGCTTTACTTAATTCGTTCGTCATGTAAAGGATTTTCCAATAAAGTATTATTTATTTAGACTAAATAGAAATAAATATTCTGTTCAAAAAAGAAAATCGAAATAATTATTTGGTAGAAACCAATCTGCTTGAAGTGGATCGATCACCTTTGCACACAGCACGCATCGCATAAGGAGCAAGAAGGGCCTGAGTGGAGCGGGTCATCGGGTTCATGTTGAACAGTGAGTTGTGCAGTCTTGGAAACGGCTTGTCCTTGTAATTCCGTTTGAATTCTTGCACGTGTATTTTCACTCCATGAATGTACATATTCCCAACGCCAATTGTCAGGTCCGCTGTATACCTTCGGGCACCTATTTATGTTCATTATCTCGAGGCTGATTGCACTTTTGAGAATGTACAAGGCAAACTCCATCTCGTATTCCGTGCCACGAAATCCACCTATTTCCATTTTCTTCAGCTCTGAATGAAATACGACGGCTTGCTTTTCCTTCTCCACTAGTGGTCCATGGACGCAAATATTCATCTACAAAACCACAGCGAAAAAGTGATTCTTTCAGCATTGTATAATGATAATATAAATAAAGAAAGATATTGTATGGCAATACTTACAGTCAAGTGAAACTCCTGTAGGAGGGGACAACTATGCAAAAATGAAGTCAGCCAAAGAAGATGGATTTTTGGTAGGGAATACACGTTGATATATAATCGCCTAAGGTTGCCGAACATGTTAATCCTGCTCTCCTGAGAATAAACAAACTGGTAGTTAACGGAAGTTGTATGCCAAAAGGTAACAAATATTACAATGGTAAAGAACTTCTCATACCTGAAAATTATCACCTCTAGTAGCAAAATTCAATGATTTCAGGTCTGGCAAATCTACTGCAAGTTTCCCGCAGACATATGGAAAAATATTTTTCTCGAATATATAAATATATGTACTTTGCAGTTGCGGAACATGGTCGAATATAAAGTCAACCTGTACAGGATTCGTAAACTCAAATATGACGAGATTACTGGCATAGAACTCTATTTCCTTTACACCTTCACACTCCATTATATAAAGAGATTTCAATTCAAGATGGGGCCCACAAAAGCTTAACTTAGAAGGACATGCGCAACCAGTCATCATCAACGAGTGGAGCTTCAAACAATTGGACAAGACGGACTCTATAGCACCAGGAGAAACACTAACATCCATAAGAACAAGATTTTGGATAGAATTATTACATTGGCTTCTCAAGCTTGACTGCAAATAACAGTTGCTCAATTCGATTTTTTTCAATAAGGGCATCTTAGAAAAAAGGTGACAAGAAAAAGAAAGATCAAGTAAATACGAATGACGACAACCTTCCAGAAAAAAAGATTCAACGTCCATTCTACCTAAAATAGAAATGCACTGCTCGAATCGATCAGTGGCTGATTTATTTGAACAAGCAGTTAGACGGAAAGAAGGGATCTTAGAACCGGAACGAAGCCTCAAAAAACTATCCAATGCATTCATGACTGAATCAGAACTTTTTGGCCTAAAGCTCCTACTAATACCAGGCGCACGTTCTAAAAGGTCGTAACAACTCAACTCGATTTCAGTTACATATCTGTACAGATTCCTCCACCTTCGTGCCAAAAGGCTCGTCCTTGTAGCATCTCTTGTGGACAAACGCGAGATAATTAAAATCAGAATATCATCGGACAATTGACTTATCAAGTCCTCGTTCTTTTCAGTACAAGGCACATGATTTAGAACAGCAATTGGAAGAAAGACTGGTTTTTTACATGGAAAAAGTCCGGGAAAATAATAATTTATCCTAGAGCGAAGACGGATTTTTATTAGTATAGCAAAAACAGCAATCGTCGCCAACGATAAAACTACGTGCGCGTAAATCATTGCTCCTGGAACAAAGAAATGAACAAACACAGTTCCAGTTAGAAGACACACAACCAACAAACATCCTGAGAAATTAAGACCATATAAATTAATTACTCACAGATAGAAGAGAAATCGAAGCGAATTCATCAAACCAATGAAGGAAACAAATAAACAGATAAATATATTGAAATTCCAACCAAATCAAAAGGACTAGTAAAAAATAACATCATAGCCTCAGCTAAAGCATAATATCATCCATTCAATTGGATTTCAGCAGAAGATTCGAATATTCAGATACTGAAAACATAGATTAACAAAGAACAAACCCTAATGGGATAAATAATTGTAGAAATAATTAACAAAGTTGAACCTGATTACCTGAGCGAAGAACTCTAGCTACTAAGGCTTCTGGTACAATGTTCAGCTATCTGAGGAATCAATTTTCTATTGCTATAGCTTGGCCTTTTAAATATCTCAAAGTTATGGAATTTGATACAAGAAATTACATAAATCAAGCTATGGAAATATATTATCTACATATTTAAATAAATATTCTCCTAATTACAGATTCACTTTCCTAATAGCCGATGTTCGTAAAACAAAAGTAAAGGAGCATCAGCATTTAAATATTTAAAGGAAACAAAAATAAAATAAAATAATCCAGCTGCTCGAGCTAGGGTGGGTATTGGGTCGGGTAATCGGGTGAGTAACGAATTCGGATCGGATGGTCTGTACGGCTGTACCTGTAGGGGATCATTTGCGGGGCGGATTTTGGAAGAATTCGACCCGAATGCTGTACGAAGATTCACCCAATTGGTTTTCCGTTTCTCTGGTTTCAAATTTGAGTGCGCGAACTGAATGATTGTGGGAATACTAATTGCGAATATTTTATTTATTAATTAAAAAATAATAAAAATAAAAATAAGCCGTAACCAAATTAACAGAAGTGATGTAAATTACCTCTTTCGAAAAATTAACAGAAGTGATGTAACATTTAAGAGGTATAAATCTTGATAAAAATCGAAAATAATAATTAAAATAATATTTAGGAGATAAATTCGACAAAAATCGAAAATAATAAAAAAATTACAAATATGACATTAGAGTTGCCCTAACGTTTCTTTTTTTTATATATACGATAACTATGTTTCAAGGGATGAGTGTAATTATCGATACTACGGGGACCTTAAAGTTATTTAAGCATATCTCAGGGGTGTGGGTGTAATTTACCCATTAAAAAATAATAAAAATAAAAATAAGCCGTAACCAAAATAACAGAAGTGATGTAATTTCGAAAAATTAATGTGTTAAAGGGAAAAATTAATTCGAATTTGGGAACTAAGATAGTATAGTAAATTGGAATCCCATGTAAATTCTAATCGACGGAAATCCGATTTTTTCAAAATTCGAAAAATTGAATTGAACCATTTACAATATGTGGGTTTAGTGACGTGGACCACATAGACATTTTTTATTTGGTAAAGAAAATGTGAAAGCTAAAAAATGAGTATCTCATATTACAATTCTACTGATTCTTCTTCTTATTCCAAAATGTGGATTTCAGCTTTGACAGGTCTTTCGCCATCATTCCAGTCGAATGTACTTCCTTGAGAAACGACAAGCCATATCCCACCAAACCCGTGAGAAGAAACCGGGTCGACACCACGCTCTCGTAGCCCATATACCAACATATACCTCCCCCAAGTACGAAAACCGCAACTCCTACAAACCCCATCTTCAACAACTTATTAGAAGATTGTGTTCCCGTCTCTTCTTTCTTGAGAGAAGCCGTACCCGTAGACAAGTTTCGGAGGCGAAATTCCATTCGTTGCCGAATCTTTTGAGCAAGAGTTTCGACTAATGCAAACCTCCCAAGTTTGCTTTCCGGGACTCCTTCCAAAATACGTTTCAAACTATTATACTCGTTTTCCCAAGCAATTTTAGTTTCCAAAGATTTGTCATGTCCATGCAGAGTTACACATTCAACCATAGCAACCCATGGAATGTTCGATATACTTGCAGGTCCATTATTTAACAATAGACACTTCACAGCAATGAGGACATTTGGTACTGATTTTGCTCGATCTATATTGGTAATCACACCAACAGTTCTCGCACCTGCGTAACAATAGCTAATACATGTTATTCATGTACACACACACACACACACACACACACACACACACACACACACACACACATCAACAAAAACAATCAGAAAATAATCACTATCTATTTAAAATTCACAAACAAAGATAAAATGGATATTGCAAACCCACCTTCTGCATCGAGTTTCTTTGCAATTTGGATAGCCTGAGCTGAGAGCACATTTAGAGCTTGATCAGCAGGTATTACAACCAGCAAAATCGCATTACTGGGTTCAGCGTACTCTTTCTGCAAATAATAAATAACCTATCACACTACTGAAGATTATACGTTGTGGTACCAGATCCAAATTCACAGCTATTACTACTAGTTCAGTCAAGGTCCAAAGGGTAGAAGTTTAGCAACATTTCGGAAGACCGCAACATTTAACAATCCAGAATGAGTTTAGTTGTATATCAATCTCATCTACAATGTGTACAATCTATCTCAATTTCAGTTTCAACCGAAACCTGTTTAGCTTGAATTAATCCTATTGAGAACTAGTTTCAAGTAACGGTCACAACTTTTCGAATATGACAAATAGTTTAGGGATTGCTAATTTTACACTACTGTCAGACACATTATGAGAAATAGACTTGTTTTATTGCTGTTGAGAAGCCCCTTACCAATGAACGATCAAGATTCAAATTGTCTACACCAGGCATATCAGCCAATTTTAATGGTGGAGCTGCAAAAGATGGATATCAAATCTTAGACAGCTATACAAATGGCAAAACGTTTTATTGTTGTGTGATAACGAAACAGTATATAGTTTCATATAATGTGAGAAACATACGTGATGAAGTAAAAGTAAGTCACAAATAGTTTTACAGTATTCAGGGAAAAAAAATTGCCATGCTGCTCACCATCTAATCAGTCTTTTTAAGTATCCGTAAAACCTAAAAGTAACTTGTCTTTGCAATAATGGTACATCATGGATTTTTCACCTCCATGAAGAATGATGATGACGTCATAAGATACTGAGTGTAAAATTTATTTCAATAATCTTTTTTACTGCATGAGTAGAACTTTGTTTTCCTGAGATTTTGCAATATCTTGGATATGCAGGTAAACTCGAAAACGTAAACAAAGGTCAGAACCTATTAGCCAGTGTAGTAAATTGAAGCAACAGTAGGAAACACACCTGTACTTGTACTAAACTTGAAAATTTTCTGCCCATGTTCGCGCCAATTCGTTCTTATAGATTCCTGAAGAAACCCTGAAACAGGCAATACATATAAGAAGATAAAAAAAATCAGCATAGTGAGATAACCATAACCAAGTGGCAAACATATTTCGCATTCACAAATAGTTGATAGGGAATAGTGTGCCTAAATTGATTCTTACACTCTAAAATTAAGGTTCATTTAGAGGCCTCACATGGACAACTTTCTTCTGATTCTGACTCTGTATTGTGCGTAACGATGGTTTCCATATCTAGCAACCTACTCCATATCAAATCAACATATGTCGGAGCACGTGTTGCACCACCTACACCTGTTGGCTGTGAAATGAAAGGGTACCGTAATGAGAAAGTAGTTGTCACTCGGAAAAATGTCAAAGTTGGGACAGGTAATTCAATAAAGAATCTAAAAACAAGCATAATTACCAATACAGGATGCCCAATCAGACTATTCAACACCGCAGACTTACCTGCACCCTGAAAAACAGTTCAAAATCAGAAATAAGGTATGACGATATAGATATGATTAACAGTATAGTGTAAACATATCACCGACAACATAGGATGGTGGATCGAATTGAACAATTTCAATCCACATGCCCGCGCACCACCATTCGCAATAAACCCGATTTCTTGTAACATATTGTTTCATATAACATAGAAAAAAATGAACGGATCAAATACTTAATCGAAAAGCAATCTTGTATCAATTTTTATTTACAGATTGTCTATATCAGGGGATATCGGTCTCGTCGTCTCTTCAGAACACAAGGCTGTCATAATCTTCATCCAATGTACTAGTAAACAGCAGAAAAACAAAGCAAAAGACTGATTTATTTGGAAAATCTTAGGGCCAAAACAATATTCACCAACCTATTGTTCCTCCATTAACACTCTTTAAATAGGCATAAATGGGAAGAACTATAGTTCATCAACACTCTTTGTATACCATACAGAACAAACTGCCTAAAATACAATAATATCACCCGTAAAAAACCCTAAGTCATACACAATTCTAAGTTGCCATACAGAACAAACTGCCTAAAATACACCGTCAAAAACCCTAAATCATACACAATTCTACATTCTAAGTTGCCATACAGACAAACTGCCTAAAATACACTAATATCACCCGTAAAAAAACCTAAATCATACACAATTCTAAGTTGCCATACAGAACAAACTGCCTAAAATACAATATACCAAACGTATATACATACATATCAACATAACTCATACAAATGATGCGATCAAGCACGCATACTCCGTAAATAACTGTATAATCAGTCATACTTACAGTATCGCCGAGAGAAACAACGTTGAGGAAAGTGAGTTCTTCCGCTACTGCATCCTTCCACGACGGCGTATCATCCACATCTTCACCGGGGAGCAGCTCTAACAGCAGCGGCACCGAATCGGAGAGGTGCGATAACTTCACGATTGCTTCCATGAGACAAACAGAGAGAGAGAGAAACTGATTTTCGTTTTGATAATTCAGGGAGAAATTGATTTCGCTAGCTTTTATGCTTTAAGCTAATAAAGGGGTTTTGATTTTTGGCGGTCCGGATTTTTGGTGCAAATTTTTTAAAACAGACTAAATTTAGTGTTAAATAAAATTTAACCCCTTATAAATTAGTAAATTATAAAATCCCCCACAGAAACATAAAGGACCAAACATGTAAGAGTGATAATACCAATTAGTGCATGGAAATGTGATAGGCATCAATCATCATGTATAAATTCTATTGAGGTCGTTTTGCCATATACCTAATTTGTTTGGGGCTAAATTGCATGTTAGAATAACTTTTGTCTCTTATTAAAATAATAATAATAATAATAATAATAATAATAATAATAATAACTAACTTTGCCATTTGTTTGTCCACCATAATTCAGTTACCTAGTTGCATACTAATGTGTAATAAAAATATAAGGTCATTTGAGATAATTTTCACCTATTGCATTCGACATTTTCATCATCTACACTTATCATTTTACACTTTAAAAAAATCTTTAATTATATTTTTCATTATTTATTTGTCCATACTTTATTATATTGGAAAAGACTATAGTCGATCATAGTCACTTGTAATCACTTACCTTTATATTTATTGATCAAGTTGAAATTCTTTTCATAGTCACTTGTAATCACGTACCTTTATATTTATTGATCAAGTTGAAATTATTTAGTTCCGGATTTTGGATTGGGTACGATATACAACTAGACGTAGTCGACATTCTGATGATCATGGCAGGTCTACGATATCGAGTGCAAGAGCAGCACCAAAACTAAAGTCGAGAGAAAGAGGATTCTTCTACGGATTTCAAATAGTTCTTCACTTTGATTTAACCATCGAATCATATGGTAAAATTTCCCGTGAAATCAAGAATATTTTACATATATTCTGATTTTTAATCCGATTTTCCATGCACGTAAAGGATTTTCCAATAAGGTTTTATTTATTTAGACTAACTAGAAATAATTATTCTGTTAGAAAAAAAAGATATAGAAATAATTATTTGTTGTGGCAAAACTCAAACATATGGCTTATTATTTGGTCGAAATAAATCTGGTTGAAGTGGATCGATCGATCACCTTTCCCAACAGCAAGCAGGGCATGAGGAGCAAGGAGGGGCTGAGTAGAGCGGGTCATCGGGTTTGTATTGAATAGTGAGTTGTGCAGTCTTGGAAACGGCTTGTCCTTGTAATTCCGTTTGAATTCTTGCATGTGTATTTTCACTCCATGAATGTACAGGTTCCCAACACCAATTGTCAGGTCCCTTGTATACCTTCGGGCACCTATTTATGTTCATTATCTCGAGGCTGGTTGCACTTTTGAGAATGTACAAGGCAAACTCCATCTCGTATTCCGTGCCACGAAATCCACCTATTTCCATTTTCTTCAGCTCTGAATGAAATACGACGGCTTGCTTTTCCTTCTCCACTAGTGGTCCATGGACGCAAATATTCATCTACAAAACCACAGCGAAAAAGTGATTCTTTCAGCATTGTATAATGATAATATAAATAAAGAAACATATTGTATGGCAATACTTACAGTCAAGTGAAACTCCTGTAGGAGGGGACAACTATGCAAAAATGAAGTCAGCCAAAGAAGATGGCTTTTTGGTAGGGAATACACGTTGATATATAATCGCCTAAGGTTGCCGAACATGTTAATCCTGCTCTCCTGAGAATAAACAAACTGGTAGTTAACGGAAGTTGTATGCCAAAAGGTAACAAATATTACAATGGTAAAGAACTTCTCATACCTGAAAATTATCACATTTAGTAGAAATATTCAATGATTTCAGGTCTGGCAAATCTACTGCAAGTTTCCCGCAAACATATGGCAAAATATTTTTCTCGAGTGCAGAAATATATGTACTTTGCAGTTGCGGAACATGGTTGAATATAAAGTCAACATGTACACGATTCGTAAACTCAAATAGGACGAGATTACTGGCATAGAACTCTATCTCCTTAACACCTTCACACTTCATTATGTAAAGAGACTTCAATTCAAGATGGGACCCACAAAAGCTTAACTTAGAAGGACATACGCATCTAGTCATCATCAACGAATGGAGCTTCAAACAATTGGACAAAACGCACTCTATAGCACCAGTAGAAACCCTAACATCCGTAAGCACAAGATTTTGGAGGGAATTATTACATTGGCTTCTCAAGCTTGACTGCAGAGAGCATTTGCTCAATTCGAGTTTTTTCAAGAAGGGCATTTTAGAAAAAAAGTGACAAGAAAAAGAAAGATCAAGAATAACTGAACGACAACAACATTCCAGAAAGATTTTCTCAACGCCCATTCTCCCTAAAAAAGAAATGCACTGCTCGAATCGATCCGTGGACGATTTATTTAAACAACCCTTTAAACGGAAAGAATGGATCTTAGAATCGTAACGAAGCCTCAAAAATCTATCCAATGCATTCACGACTGAATTAGAACTTTCTGACCAAATGCTCTTACTAGTAAGAGGCACATGTTCTAAAAGGTCGTAACAACTGAATTCGATTTTAGTTACAGATTTGTACAGATTTCTCCACCTTCGTGCCAAGAGGCTCGTCCTTGTAGCATCTCTCGTGCACAAACGCGAGATAATTGAAATCAGGATATCATCTGACAGATGACTTATCAAGTCATCTGGAGAAAAGACCGTTTCTTCATTTGGAGAAAAAAACGGATTTTTATTTCGAAGAAGTCTGAGAAAGTAATAATTTATCCTAGAGCGAAGACGGACTTTTATTAGTATAGCAAAAACAGCAATCGTCGCCAACGATAAAACTACGTGCGCGTAAATCATTGCCCCTGGAACAAAGAAAATGGACAAACACAGTTCCAGTTAGAATACACACAACCAACAAACATCCTTCGAAATTACGACCATATAAATTAATTACTCGCAGATAGAAGAGAAATCGAAGCGAATTTATCAAACCAGTCAAGGAAACAAATAAACAGATAAATATATTGAAATTCCAACTAAATCAAAACCAGTACTTTTTTTTTAATCATCCATTCAATTGGATTTCAGCAGAAAATTCGAATATTCAGATACTGAAAACATAGATTAACTAATTGTAGAAATAATTAACAAAGTTGAACCTGATTACCTGAGCGAAGAACCCTAGCTACTAAGGCTTCTGGTACAATGTTCAGCTATCTGAGGAATCAATTTTCTATTTCTATAGCTTGGCCTTTTAATTAGGCAGAGAATAAATATCTCACAGTTATGGAATTTGATACAAGAAATTACATAAATTAAGTTATGAAATATATTATCTATATATTTAAATAAATATTCTCCAAATCACAGATTCACTTTCCTAATAGCCGATGTAAATATTTAAGAGGGAAAAAGGGGGGGGGGGGGGGGGGGGAATCCAGCTGCTCGAGCTAGGGTGGGTGGGTATTGGGTCGGGTAATCGGGTCAGTACGATTTTAATTGAACTAATTATATGCTAGATTAATTTAATGATTAATTTAATTGAACTAATTATATGCTAGATTAATTTAATTATGGGTCTGAAATATTAACTTGGGCCCTAGTTTATAGTTTGGCTTCATACTAATAATTATAAATTTAGGCTTCATTATTCTTCTAGCCCAACTACATCATTAATAATTATATTTTAAATAATTAAGTTTATGGTTGTCAAATTCTTACGTTTTAGTTCTATCTTTTTTTTTCTATAATTTAATTCGATTTTATATAATTATTATGGAAAACTACAGTTTTCAACCCTTAAGTCTGCGCCGATTTCACATTTGGTCCCTTATGTTCACAAAAAAACACATTTAGTCCCTCGTGTTTCAATAATTCAACACCTTTGGTCATTTACGTCAGTTTATCATTAGTCCGTCAGTTTAAAACAGAAGTGCACAAGCTTGATTCCGTTATTATTGACGGAAAATTGACGAAAATGGCTAAAAATTGTTGAATTTTTGAAATATGAGGGACCAAATGTGTTTTTTTATGAACATGGGGGACCAAATGTGAATTGGTGCAAACTTGAGGGATCAAAATTGAAATTTTCCCAATTTTTATTATTCAAATGTGTCTTAATTATTATTTAAAAGTAAAATTTATCATTTTGTTCGAAATAAAATAACAAAATTAAAAATATATATATAATAAATTGTTTCGAGTCGAACTAAAAAAATTACGAAAATACTTAACAAAAAGATGAGTAAGAGTAAAGCTCAATATACAAAAACATTCTTTACATTCTAATCCATGCATAAATATATGTAATGATTTTCAATAGGAAATAAAACTATTGTGACTCTCGATTCGTTACGATTTACAATTTATAAATTTAACAAAACAATTTACGATTCGATATGCGAATTAACAAAAATGATTAAGTATACTAGTCATATCAATGCAAAAAAAACACAAACTATATATACAGTTCAGTGTATGTGAAACTTGAATAGAGTACTCATCATAAGAATTTGATCACTTCAAAACCATGTTTCTACTTACAAATTTGGACAAACTTTACCCTCCATCGACGAATACTAAACATCCAACGAGATTTTACCCGCTAAATCTGTTTCAAGTGGATCGAAAAGAAATTTTACCTATTTCTCATTTTCTTTACATATTAATCTTCGAAATGGGGTTTGTGTTGAAGACTGAGTTGTGCAGTCTTGGAAACAGCTTGTCCTTGTAATTTCCCACGAATATTTGCACGTACCTTTTCAGTCCACGGCTCTGCATTCATCTCAAACCAACTGCTAGGTCCCTCATATACTCCCCAGTATACCTTAAAACACGCACTTATCTGCATTTTCTCGAGGTTTATTGCACTTTTGAGGATGTACAAGGCAAACTCGATCTCGTATTCCGCCCCACGAAATCCACTGATTTCCATCTTCTTTAGCTCGGAATGAAATACTATGGCCTGTTTTTCCACTGGTGGTCCTTCACCCCTGTAGGTTGCCTACAACCAACACCAAACGAAACATTTTTACAAATAAATTTTCCAACAAGAGTTCCTACATTTGATTTTACTCTGTTTTAAACATATTGTCTGACAATACTTACAGATAGGTGAAACTCCTTTAGGAGGGGACAACTTTGCAAAATTGAAGTCAGCAAACGAAGATCGGATTCTGGTACGAAACGCATGTCGATATCTAATCGCCTGAGGTTGTTGAACATGTTAGTCCTCATACGCCTGTTGCTCTCCTGATCAGTATCAAGTATCCACGAGTCAAGAAATTCGCATGGCGAAAAAAGTAACAAGATACAAAATGGGGAAAGAAAGATATAATATATATATGTACCTGAAAATGATCGTGCATAGTAACAAAATTCAACGATTTCAGGCATGGCACATCTACTGCAAGTCTCCCAAAAATAAAGGGAACAATATTTTCTGAAAATATATAAAGAAAAATACTCTGCAGCCGAGGAACATGATCGAATTTCAGGTCAGCCAATTTAAAATTCCAAAACTCGAATACAACGAGATTACTGGCATAGAACTCGATCTCCTCTATACCGCCACACTCCCTTATATAAAGAGAATTCAATTCTAGATTGGGACCACAAAAGCTTAACTTCGAAGAAAAATGGCATCTAGTCATCGTCAACGATTGGAGGCTCGAACAATTGGACAAAATGCACTCTACGGCACCATCAGAAACTGTAACATGCATAAGCGCAATAATTCGAAGGGAATCATTAGAATGACTTCCCAAGCTTGGCTGCAACGAGCAGTTTCTCAATCCGAATTTCTTCAAGGATGGCATTTTCGAGAAAAGGTGACAAGAAAAAGAAAGATCGCTAATAGACGGAGAACAACAGCATTTTATACGGATCTTTTCAACGCCCAATAGTTCGAGAGAAGAAATGAACTGCTCGAATCGATCAGTGACTGATTCATATAAACAACACGATAATCGGAAGGAACGGATCTTAGAATCCGAACGAAGCCTAAAAAATCTATCCAATGCATCCATGATTGGTTCGGAATTATGAGGGTTCAGACCGGCAGAACTAAGACCTAAAAGGCAGCGACAACTTAACTCGATCTTCGATATGAATTTGTAAAGATTCCTCCACCTTCGCGACAGAAGGCTCGTCCTTGTAGCATCTTTTGTGGGTAGAAGTGAGAGAATTGAAACCAAAATATCATCTGGAAGGTCACTTATCAAGTTCTCGTTCTTCCCAGTACCTAAAACATCTGAAAATTCAACAAAAAAAAAAATAATTCTATCATCATACACTGCAAGAAAAACAAGAATTCATTATTTCAACGTTGCATTGCGAATCAGGATTTTTATTAATACATCAAAACAAACCAGTCTATAGAGGAAGAAACACAACCAAATAAGGAGCAGGAACCCTAATTACTCACAACTAAAAACAGAAATTGAAATACTGTAAAATTACAACAACAAATCAATCGACGGAAAAGGAATGGCGACAATTGAACCTGTTAGCGCCGACATGAGTAGAGAATTCGAGCTGACCGGAGTAGAGAATTCGAGCTGATGCACTCTGCAGCATACGTGTTGAAGGAAATAAAAAATGCTGCTCAAGACTAAAAGGGGAAATTATGTTCTTTCTTCATATATATATGGATAAGGGCAAAGAAGTTCTCTATATCTTTTTAGGGGGTAAATCCGAAAATAAAAGTCCCATCCAAAAACCCAAATATTCTTTTTTTGTTCTTTTTAACCCAACGATTCCCTTTTTCTGTTATTTTTAACCCAAAAAGTCCCCATAGTTACAAAACAACCCGGGCCACCTAAAACGCCGTCGTTTTGGCTTATTTTTTTTTTCTTCCCCTAATTTTTATGTAAGGGTTGAAGTGATGTGGATCACATATAATATATAATTTCATAATTAATATAGAGACCACAGTTTCATTATCCATACACAAAGCCTCAACTGTACATTGTTAAATAAACTAGCCTGTATTTCTCAACTTCCCACCCAAGAAAATAATGAAGAGTTTGTACTTATTGAGTAGCCGCTTAACTTTTCCACCACTAATTCAACCAACTCCGAATCGAAAAAATAGCGGAAACTTTACCGTACACGCAGCAAAATCTGGTGGATTCTCGTTCAAATCTGTATGTGCAATATATATATATATATATATATATATATATATATATATATATATATATATATATATATATATATATACATATACATATTTCCAGTCTCAATATACAAGTTTAAATATAGTTAATTAATGTGGAATGTATCAGCTTGTAACAAAGCATAGTTGACTTCATGCAGTGTCAAACATGTAAAGGCCAAGGTGCAGTAGAATGCCAGGGGTGTAAGGTATGTATATATCTATATATAATATGTATGTATATATATATATATATATATATATATATGTATATATATGAATAGGGATTTTTTTTTGTATGTTTATGGTTCGATATAAGGAGTTCTTCGTTCGATTTTATTCAGGGGACAGGAAAGAACAAGAAGAATGGAAATATTTTCGAACGATGGAAGTAAGTTTTATTATCGATCAATTATGAATGGTCTCTACTAATTAGTTATCATTAAGTTACTGATTAATTTTAATTTGTCTGATTATTGAAATGCAAATTATGAAGGTGCTTTGATTGTCAAGGATTTGGAATGAAGGGCTGCCCTGTTTGCGGCAAAGGAGGATTAACACCAGAACAACGTGGCGAAAGATAATTTGTCGAAAACCAGACACGTTATTTTATTTCGTTTTAATTTCCTTATGTAACAGCTTTCTTGAATCAATACATGTGTGTCCTTAATCGAGAACGGCATAAAAAGTTTAAGTGGCGGTACAAATCAAAGTCCCGTTATCTCGATAAAGTTTGCATCCGGTTTTAGCTAAGCAGCAATTGCACACCGGTTCGAGCTTTTGAGAACCCGAAGAAGGGCAAGTCATATAAATACCTTGATTGATAATGCAGTACAATGGGCAGACTTTTGCACTTGCATATTGCGCATTGGATTCCAATACTAGCAAAATTGCTGTGATCATAAATAATTAATTAAGTAAATAAATAAATAAATAAAAGAAAAAAAAAAGTTAGAAAAATACCAAAGAAGAGAAGAGCCAATGAACAAACTCTAGAAGTGGTAGCTGCCATTCTTGTTCAATCTCAGTTATGCTTAGATAATATTCTATATATAAAACCCCAAAGTTAAAAAGTCAACTGCAAAATAAATCAAGATTCACAATTTTTTCATTTATTGAGAATTGAGGTGACATCAATAAAGTCAAATGTCGGGAGTTAGATGTTCTATCTGATTATTTATATTGGGAGTTCATTAATTATTGATGAAGTTAAATAACTACCTACTAATCATATATATATATATATATATATATATATATATATATATATATATATATATATATATATATATATATATATATATATATATATATATATATATATATATATATAATATGAGTGTGTTTGATTATACGTAGATCTAGGGTTCACAGTAAGGGTGGTAAACGAGCTGAGCGGGCTCGTGAGCTCGACGAGCGGGCTCGTAAAAAGCTCGAACTCGGACTCGAGGTTTTCGAGCTCGAACTTTCTGACGAGCCGAGCTCGAGCGGGTTTTTAGTTGTTCATGAGCTCGCGAGCCTTATTTAATATTATTTTTTTATTATTTTTATTTTTTATATGTTATTTTTATTTAAATAAATGTATAATAATATAAAATATTATAGAAATAAATACAAATATTAAAAAAAATATATAATTACAATTTAGTTTTTATTTTGTATTTTTTTAAAATAATTTTTAATAATTAAAAAAATATTTTAAAAAAAAAAAGAGAGAGCTTGGGCTCGAGCTTGGGCTCGAGCTCGAGCTCGAGCTCGAGCCGAAAAAAGAGGAACTTGATGAGCTCGAGCTCGACAAAATAAACTCGAACTCGAGCTCGAGCCAACCAAAAGAGGCGAGCTCGGCTCGTTCACACCCCTAATTCACAATCACCCGATATAAATAACTAGGTGTGTAATCTAATTTTACGATAAAGTCAACTATGACCGACAATTTATGAGGTAGGTGGGAGATTTTTAGGGACATATTTGCAAATTAAATTATTGTCCAATCAAATGAGATAAATTTATTTTGAGCCCAACCCGTTAATGAATTTGGGTCTAGGGCTTGATAAATATGGGCTTGAAATACTTGATCATGGAATATTTATAAATAAATAATTAATTAAATAAATAAATAAATAGTGTGACCTTCACTTTGTTGTTTCTGGCATTTCTTGATTTCTTGAAAGGGATACAAGCACAAATTCTCTCTGCAAATTTGTAAGGAAGAGGTACTCAATTATATTTGCATCTTTCATCATCGTATAATGCATTTGTTTTTCCTTTAATTTTTTATTTAATTTTCCTGATTTTGGATCCAATATGGATATGAATTTTAGATACAAATCTAAATAGATTCCTCGTACATATTAATGATTAATCCATGAACACACTCTTGATCTATTGGTAATTTAGACACCCTTCTCAAAATTCATGCAGATCTCTCTCTCTCTCTCTCTCTCTCTCTCTCTCTCTCTCTCTCTCTCTCTCTCTCTCTCTCTCAAAGTTTGCATGCAGATTCAAGAATTGAAAAACAATTTTTTATTACATTATTGTACCCTTTTTACAAAAAAAAATAAAAATTAAATTGAGGTTGTATTTCTCAAAAAAAAATTACTATTGGCGAAATTCGCAGATTATTTCGCGTGTTTCGTTTATTTCGTTGAAGAATATTCGCAATGGATCCGACAAGAGGACAAGGAGGCATTCAGATGCTCCTTACTGCAGAGCAAGAAGCTCAACAAATTGTCACAGCTGCTCGAAACTGTAATTATATCTTTTTTTTACTCATATACAAAAAAATAATTAATGTTTTATTATTATTTTTAATAAGCAAATCGTCTCGTCGTTGTTCATCGTGTCGTTTTTTCAGTGAAAATGTCGAGGCTGAGGCAAGCGAAGGAAGAAGCCGAGACAGAAGTGGCTAAGTACCGGTCCCACATGGAATCCGAGTACCAAAAGAGTATTTCTGAGGTTGTTATTTTAACAACATATTATATATTACAATGAAATAAAATATCATATGTTAGTAATTTTCTTGTGTTTAATTTTTTATATCTATATATCTATGTACGCAGTCTTCCGGGAGCTCTGACTCAACGGTGAAAAGGCTCGAGACAGAAACCGAAGCAAAGATCCAAAGCTTGAAGGAAACATCCACGAAAGTCTCTCCCGATGTCGTCAAAATGCTCGTCAAGTACATCACAACCGTGTGACTAAAAAATCATATCACAAGGTAGTAATTAATATTGTTTACGATCAAAAGGGTCCGAATATATTTACCGCAAGAATCGTATTATGTGTTACGATTGTTCTTCTTGATTTTTTTTCACCACAGGTTGAAGCAATAAAACTTTCATCAATAAAAGGCAGAAGATTTATATGCAGATCACAGAGTCATTGATCTTCAATTTATATACTATTTACAATATAATCAACTAGTTATATGTGTACACATTTATTTATATGTTATTTATGATAATTTTGATATTTCTTGCAATGTATGAATTGGAGGAATCTAAGCTACTATTTTGACAATTCTACGAAAAATGTGTGAATTACTTATATAATAGTTACGATGCGATTCTAGACAATATAACTAATGGGGTCCATTGTCGAGCCTTCTTTTCGAGAAAAAAAAAAAGTGTACTTTCTCGATATAAACACACGTCTTATGCTTGATCACGATAAATATAAATATAATCGGATGCGGTCAAATATTTACCGTGTAATCATGCACGAAGGTGACGGCGAAACGTGATAAATATATGCAATCAAATGAAATAAACGAAGACAATTAAGGAATTTCTAGAATCAATGAATTCATATGTGTTCGTTTATATCGTAATTATTCAATATAAAGGAATATAAAGTTTTTATTCTTCGATAAATTCAATTAATTGTACTTATAAAAATTGAAATTATTTTATTTGGATGTAATTATGGATTTAACATATAATTCCATCCGTAATATTTTCTGAGCCCGGCCCATACAGTTGGGCTTTTTGGTCGGGGCCCATTCGGAGCCCAATAAAAGCCCGGCCCGACTATCTGTTTGTTTGTTTGTTTTTCGACACTGAAGTTCTCGGGAGTTCAGTATCTTCGCCATTTCAAGTTTCTCGATTGGGGAAGAAAGGAAATTGCAGTAATCGAAGTGTATAAATACACAGTAAAGAGAGTAAGAGTTCAGTAAAATTCTCGATTTCATTTGAATTCAATTTTGATTCCATCCGATCTTCCCAATTTTATTTTTTCCTGTGAATGCGATTTTGATACTCTGATTTCTCCAGAAACAATGTCGGAAACTTCGTCGCAAAGCCAATCACCGCCGGAGGATTCAATCGGCCGTTACTTCCTTGATATCTGGAGCCAAAATTCCAAAACCCTATCCCTAAGAGCCAGTAGCGGAACTGAATCCGCATTCGAAGAGGAGAGGGAGGAATCTCCGACGGCGTTGGATACGGTTAAAAGCTCCGGCGGGTTCTCGGTCGTCGGCGCCGACAAGCTCTCGCTTACATATCCGAACGATCAGTTGCATGGACACGACGTCGGAGTGGTGCAGGCGAATTGCCCTGCACCGTCGAAGCGGTTGGTGTATTATTTTGAAATTTCTGTAAAGCATGCTGGGGTGAAGGGGCAGATTGCAATCGGATTTACTACCTCTGCTTTCAGACTCCGCCGTCAACCAGGGTATATCTAACATTTTGCACCGTATATTGTTCTCATTGTGGATTTAATTTGGGGTTTCTTGCAACGTGTATTCTACTTCTGATTTTATTTGGAGTTTTTTGCAGCGTGTATTGTTGTTCTTGTGAATTTATATTTGGTTTATGTGTGGGCATGTTGGATACTACGGTGAATAGTAGTTCTTGTATTCGGATTGAGTTATTTTTTATTCTCTTTTTGAAGATTCAAGAATATTTGACGGGGATCGAGTGATAGGTGGAATAACACAGTAATTATGAATGAGTATTGAGTAGGAACACTATCATCTCGAGTTGTATTTTGGTTTAGAGGTTGTGCCTTGATTGTTGGTAGAAAACTTTGGCTGCATCAGTTTCGTCCTATGTGCTCCTCATTTGCTTACTGTTTCTTTGATGATTTTTTCTTCGAGTGCTCACTCATTTGTTATTGTGTTTATTTACTTCTGTTTGATTCTTGATTTTGTGACATTAAAGTTTTGAAGAGTTAATTTTACAGTTTCTCTGTCAATCGAGTTCCAAGGTTAATAGAAAAGTGATATTGTTTGAATTGTGAAACACCAAAATAAATTTGGAAGTAATAATTGGGAAACTAATCCAACTATGGAAGGTCACCGGTAAGCTCTGATCATATTCTGGTGTCAGACTGTTTGGGAACTTTAATTGAGTGCCACACTGCATTGCTTCTTTAATTGTTAAACGATGTTATTGGATTTTGAGGTTCTTATTGTTGCTTCTTTACTTTACAGCTGGGAAGCAAATAGTTGTGGATATCATGGTGATGATGGACGTCTTGATCGTGGACATGGGAAAGGAGACGTGTGTGGCCCACCCTACACAGCTGGTGATACGGTTGGTGGTGGTATCAATTATGCAACAGAGGAATTCTTTTTCACGTAAGGCAGCCTTATGAGTGACAATTTTGTTGGGGTCCTGAGAGTTTATAAGCATTCACATTTTTACTATAGAATTAATTTCTAAGTCTGGTCTAGCTTTTATTGTTATCTATTTAATTTCCATTAGGTTATTTCATCAATTTGTTTTACTTCTAAAATTTCTTGTGGTTTCTACCTTCTTCCCAGGAAAAATGGAGTTGTTATAGGCTCGGTGTATAAGGATGTCAAGGGTCCAGTGTATCCTACAGTTGCTGTTCATAGCCAAAATGAGGAGTATGTAACTCATTTGTTCTGGCAATACATTTCTTAGGGGGCTAAGTACTGATTGATTTCTTTGGTAATGAAGTGGTACTTCTTATCTAATGTAGTTGAATGTTGATAATGTTGATCTCATTGTGGCAGGGTATCTGTAAACTTTGGACAGGATCCATTTGTCTTTGATCTTAAAGTAAGTTTTATTTTCTTTCTTGGATAAATCCTTTCTTCTGGGAGCAATCTGAATAAGTTCCAACTCTTTTATAGCCAATTATCCAGCAAGTCATGTTACTACAACTAGTACTGTCTTTTGAAAAGTTGTTTTTTGATATTGTTGTCAAGTTTTATAGTAATCTTGTTTATTTGGATCCCTTTTTAAACTTTATCTTAGTTTCTTGTACTTATTTTCACTTTTAAATATCTGAAGCATTAACGTTGTAGTTTAGGTGCTTATTTATATATGTTAATTTCCCCTTAAGTCATTATTTGTGAAAAGAGAAGTAAGGATTTTTTTAATGAAAATGTGAGGAATGTCATATTGTATTTTGGTGTTTAATATACTGATCTGTGAAGTTTTTTGAATCCCATTAATCAGGCATATGAAGCAGAACAAAGAACTAAACAACAGATAAAAATTGAAAATACCTCAATACCACAGGATGCCAGTTACGGGTAAGTTCCAGAAGTTTTTATTAGATAGTATAGCCAGAAGCCCAGAACTTCATTGTTTGAGTTTTGATAATGATCTTAAGTGAAAAATAATAGTCCTACTAATGAGAGTCCGAGTTTGTACACCTCCCTTGTTATTTTAGAAATACCGTCAGACGAATTGATGCCTTTTTCAACACTAAAACTTCCTATTTGCAGTATCAGCATCTGATTTAAATTCGCAATGCTGACATCTTATATAGCAAAATCATGATAATAATATATGGATTTTACTTTGCATTCAAATTGAACACTTCAGACTAAGATCGGCAACTGATATTTTGTCTCTTAATTATATTGGCTTTTTTTTATTTTCAGAATAGTTCGATCCTACTTGCAACATTATGGATATGAAGAGACTCTTAAATTGTTTGACATAGATGGTAGAAATACCATGCCTCCCATCTCTGTAATTCCAGAAAATGGTGATAGTGAGGAAGACAGCATCAGCATGTACGCCTTGAAACAGAGGAATACTGTTCGTCGGGTAAGATATGGAGCATATTTATTTTTTCTTTGCAGTTACCACGTAACTTCGATGGGTCTAACTTTCTTTTGTTGAATATGAAGATTCCTTAGCAGTTATGCAACTTTTCGAGTATATCAACCTAAACAGATCCACATTTATGAATATATATGTGCTCACACTTTGTACTATGATTTAATCGACCAGTAGCTTCTTTGCAGACCGAAGGTCACCTTATGAAAAACACAATATTTAATTTTATGATCATACTATATTTTCTCTGATATTTCTGCTGTCTCTGCTAATTTTTCATTTCCATATTTTGTCTTAGGCAAACTTGAGTTTCTGACTTTCTGTCAGCTTATATTGGTTTTGCTGTTATGATAAGGAACTTCATAGGTTCAATCTTTGCACAGAAGTCTTGATTCATTATATATTTGTATTTTGTTATGCAGTTGATAAAGTCTGGTAATATCGATGAGACGTTTTCTACACTTCAGAAATGGTATCCACAGATTGTGCAGGTATATAATAATGAGCTCATTTAATTGAAATGATAACTTAGGATTGTCTTCATCGTTTTATGTTGAAGAATTCTGTTTTTTCATCTCTTTTTAGGACTCTCTTTAGCACTCTTTGACTGTCAGAAAGGGAAAAAAGAAAAATGGTTGTTCACTATCAATAATAATCAGGATTATACAAGTTTTTTTATTCTGGATAAAAAATACTGTCTCCATTTCAGGAGTACTATTTATTCTACCTCAATTTATCTACTGCTTTCATGGTTAATGGCTTAATGCTCATTTATCCCCCAAGTTGATCATGGTTCTACTCTCTGCAGGATCACACCTCAGCTATTTGCTTTATGCTACATTGTCAAAAGTTTATTGAGCTTATCCGGGTAATCATCTCTTTCTTGTTTACTTGATGTGATGATGGATAGTCGTAGGTTTATGAACTATACTTCATTTTTTTTCTTCTTCCGTGCACATGCAATCTATCACATTCTTACTTAACCTTTAAATAAAGTCAAAAGTTCTTTATCAAATCTGATATTTTGTTGCAGGGGGGAAAGCTAGAAGAAGCTATAGTATATGGCAGAGGTGAATTTGACAAGTTCAAGGACTTGTCAGGGTTCGATGATCTTGTTAAGGTATATGCGATTTGCTTGAATTACAACTTCACTGCTTAGCAATTAGCATTCTTCAGGTTTTCTTGTTCACCAATTCTGAGGGTGGATTTTGATTTTTCATTGTCAGAAAGAAATTGTATTAATACATGAATATCTTATGTGTCGTGATTCCTGTTGGTCCTGCTAGGATTGTGCTGCCTTGCTGGCGTACGAAGACCCGAGCAGGTCATCTGTTGGATACCTTCTTTCAGAATCTCAACGGGAGCTGGTAGCTGATGCAGTGAATGCCATGATTTTATCAACCAACCCGAAGATGACAGATGTCACCTCTTGCAAGCAGTCCCGTCTGGAGAGGCTAATAAGACAGGTCACAGCTTGCTTTTTGGAGAAGAGGAGCTTGAATGGTGATCAGGGTGAAGCCTTCCAATTGAGCCAAATTTTGAACAGTGCTACAAAGTGATCTTGTTACTTAGGAGAGCTGCTGCTTTATTTTTCCCTTTTTTTTTTTTTTTGTGTGTGTTTGTGCATATTATTGTTTAGTTGACCTTGTTTGACCACCTCGTTCTCCGGTTGTTATGTCGGATTACTGTAGTTAATAACGAAGGTCTAATACTTCCGTGATATGATTTGTGCAGTACTCTGGTTTATGTTTACATGAAACTGGAAAGTAGTATTAGCTGAATGATGATTGTACAGGTTTAATTCTCTTTGTTATGCTTTAATTCATAATTCTGTGCATGAGATTTTGACAACGTATAATTCTGTGCATGAGATTTTGGATATTCACATTAAATGATTTGTAAATAATTTATTTATATTTGAACCGGATATTTAATTTACATATATCTCATTAAATAAATCTCGAGATTAAGATTAAAAAAATAAATAATAAAAATATATACATATATCTCCTTAAATAAAACTCGAGATTAAGATTGAAATAGACGAAGTAAAATATGGTTGGTTGTGTATTTATTTAATTAATATTTCTCAATTTGAGTTAGATGGGATTTAATTAACTAATTAAGGGGAGAAACATTTTCCCCCATGCGGCGAAATCTGCATGCAAAGTTGATGGACAGAAAACAATTTTGGCTACGTGAATTACGGTCCCTCCATTTTTGTTCTTCCTCAGATCAAGAAACAGAATAATCATATCATATACACCACACTCATTGCACATAATTCATACTAACATTTGATTTCTCCTCTCTCTCTTCTTCCTTCTTCCCCACTCCAGAATCCAGATCTTCGATTTCTGGAGTTGTGGGACCCGGAATATCCTTCTGCCTCCGTCCGTCCATGTGAAAGCCCAACCCCGCTATCCATCCTCTCTGAATTAATCCGCCCCTATCTTTCGTAATCTCTCTCTCTCTCTCTAGATCTCTCTGTCTCTGTCTTTCGATATCTCATATATATATATAGTAGGCTGATTTTAGATATGTTTTGGCAGGAGGGCTTGTTCAGGGAAATGGAGAGCACAAATAACGGACTTTCAAACCACGAAACACTCGGGAACACAGGTGGCATGAGAGATGTGCTGCCTCTTTCACCTTTCCAATTCTACTCTGATTTTTCACCTGTCGATTCGGAAGGTGATTTGAAATCTCTAGAAGGTGGTTTGAATTACCACCAACGTTGCTCTTCCGAGAGCTTTCTCATCGAGGAGCAACCATCATGGCTAGACGATCTTTTAAACGAGCCTGAAACTCCTCTTCACAGAGGCCATCGCCGCGCAGCTAGTGATTCCTATGCATATTTCGGCGAAGCAGATAAATTTACCTTACCATATGATCAGAAAAATAACAAGGTTTTTTTTTTCTTTCTTTTTTTCCTTTTCCGGATCTATGAGATTGAATCAAACACGAATCTGTTAATTGGGACTTGCATGAATGAAGATGGTCTTTTTTTTTTTTCGCAGGAATCGAAAGTTGTACCTTCTTTAGGTTTAGAGAATAGCAGAGGGGAATCGGGTTCAGAGAACCTTCAGAATTCTGCGGATAGAGCTAACGGTTCTCAAGTTAAGCCTTCTGGATCAAAAATGGATTCCAAACGTTCTAAACAGTACGGTTTTTTCCCACATACTCAGCATACAATAATACATATATATTATCCAGTTTTGAGAAATATGACACACTAACAACACACGCAGGCACAACGCTCACCGGTCAAGAGTAAGGAAACTTCAATACATATCTCATCTTGAAAGGACTGTTCAAATTTTGAAGGTAAAATAAACGGTCTTTTCTAAGAAAAAAAAACGTAAATTTCGAAACATTATTTGTCCATGTGTACATTACCTGTCTTTGATGCTTCATTCGAACAGGCAGAAGGGTTTGAAATTTCGGCTGAGCTTGAATTCGTCGAACAGCAGAACATAATCTTGTCAATGGAAAACAGAACACTTAGGCAGCGCCTCGAGAGTATTTCGCAGGAGCAGATGATCAAACACTGTAACATTTCTCTAGCTTAACTCATTGTTTTCGGATTTTCTTTGAAAAAAAAAGATTAATTTTTTTTACCATGTTTCTCTCTCTCTCTTGTAATGTTTACAGGGGAACAAGGGATGTTAGAGAGAGAAATAGGGAGGTTGCAAACTCTGTATCATATGCAGAAGCAACAGCAAATGCAAATGCAAATGCACCATCAACAACAGCATCCACATAACCAACATCAAAAACATCGTCGAAACAGAAGCAGAGATCTTGACCACCCAGTCAACATTTCCTCAACCAAGAACAAAGATGCCAGTTCCAGCAAAGATTCAGTCAATGGTTCTGTTCGTGTCTAAGTCAAACCCGAGTTCCGTTCTGTTTTACTTTTCCACCAGTTTCTCTCCATTATCTTTTTCCCCTGAGTTCTTTTTTTGTTCTTTCTTATGTCCGATGTTGCCAACACTAGTTTATTCACTTACTTTTACGAAGATTTAGATTTTAGCAGGGACTATTTCAATGCTTGAGCAGTCAGCCCTGAACTGTAGAGTCGAATTTTAGCACCGTAGGCAATTTTGAAATGAAAGTCACATTACAACAACAGGTTTAGAGCTTATGGTAATGGATATTTTTTTATTTCTTTTTAACCGCTTGCAACAACATATTCATCTGATTAATTTGTGCATGTTCACTAAATAAAGAAATGAATCTTCAAGTGGCGATAGCAACAGAAGCTTTAAGAGGTAATAATAGCTAGTAGCCTAACAATTTGTTCTCTTCCGTTTTAACGTTTTCCAAGTCTTTTTCTTTCTTTTCCACCTTAAAACAGCCATTTTCTCTAATAACCGACATCGATATCTTTTACGATTCTTGAACCAAGCTGAGTAATCTTTACCTCGTTTGCATTCAACAAAACTGGCCAAATCATCAAAATCGTTATTTTCTCCCATATTTAAAACGCACTTCAAGAAGACCTCCCCGTTGCTCGTCTCTTCCGTTTCTTCTTCTAAGCCTGTAACTGGCTCCATATCCAAAGTACTTGCTAACGTTTCTGAACTCAAAGTTTCCCTTCTGTTATATTTATTGTTCTTTAGACTGCAAAGAGTTGATTACTGATAAGCCATATACTATGTAATAGTAAGAAAAAGGACAGAAAGTACAAGCAAAGTAACACAAGTTACCTCGAATAAAGAGACTGTATCTTATGGAACTTTGACGCGACCACAAGGCTGGAGTTTCGGCCGGTCTTAGTCTGCATTATCATAAAAAAGAAATATCTGAACACTTGATATCCAAATAAATATGCCATGTACAAATTTCAGATAAAAGGAAAATAACAAATTACCTCATGGAATCTGACAAATGAAAAAGATCCGTTCTTGGCATCACTTAAAGATTCCAACGCGTCCAAGTTGCCCTCCTCGAAAATAAATAAATTTAACAGAGCAAGAATTGCCAACAAACAGGCTTTTGCCAAGCAATCGAGCCCAGTGACAAAGCTTAGTGACATCAGTCCCGAGAAATGCAAAAACATCATCTTCGAATCCACATGCCTCGTAGAATGATTAGACATCATCACCTTGGATAGATCTTGTTGCAATGGCAAACCGATGTCCAAATTTCTGAAACATGAGATTGCGCCTAAAATGAACTTATACTCCTTGCACGAGGACAAGTCTTTCAAGGTCTTGAGGCGACATAATTCATCGCCGTTTCTAAGGCACCGAATAGTTTGTAGTAATGAGATGCTCATTAGTTTCAATACAGAAGCAAGAAGATATATATTCTGCAGAGTCGTACACTCGATTGGACGTACAGCTTCGTCGTCGTAGCTTTCAGAGGCTTTGACGACCAAGCAGCTTAAGATGGACAAGATCTCGTCTTCGCATGATAGGGCATAAGCATTTTGACACTCCTTCACGAATCTCATGCAAGAACTCACCATGTCCGATTTCATCCTAAATAAACTGTCGTTCAAGTCCAGATTCAAATCGTTGTCTAGCTTGGTGATTAGACAATCAACCTTATTTTTCGTCTCTGGGGTTATGTAAAGCTCAAATGGTGGATAAGCAATATCATGCGATGAATTAGAAGTGAAGCCCGAATACCCATCTGTCTGTAAACAAGACATGTGTCTCATGTACAAAGTGACGGATTTTTCAAAGGTTGATAGGAAGCAGTTGGTTAGTTTACGATCGGGTTGCAAGTTCTTGATATTAACTGCTTCAGAAACTAGTGAAATCAAATGGGCTTGAACGTATTTCGGAGCAGAAACCATGGTAGGGTTAAGAAGTAACGATACAGCTGTGGTAACACTCAAAGCTGGAGAAGTGTAAGGATATCGAAGTTCTATTGCATGCGTAATAAATAGTCGATTGAGAAAATCTTCGAAAACTTGCTTATGGGAAAATGATATGATAAAATGGTTACAGATCGCTTCAATCCCAATATCACTGTGAGCAGATTGCGAATTGGATAGCGTTTCATTGATATAAACAACAGAATTAATCATCCGGAAGTAATTCCTTAATTGCCCATGCGCATACAGCTCGTCTACAAATACCTGCCGATGAAAAAATGTAGCAATTTGATTACTATCCAACAAAATTACGACCGTAACAACAAACAAATCTCATCCAAAACACTTCAAATTTGATCGAAAAGTTAAAAATAAAATAAATAAATAAATAAATAAAAAATTACCTCGAGAGTTGTAGACATGAAAAAAAGGAGAGGATCGTAAGGCTCCAAAAACTGTAAGGAAGCAGTGAAGCCCTCAACAGACGATGTACAGCAGCCATTTTCACGAAAAACCGACTTCTCAAAGACAAACGTGTTTCTCCCTGTGTTCTCAACTAAGCGGTGTGAACTCGACTTTCTGAGTATCCTCAACAAAATCGGCAATTTTTCGAGGATAAGATTTTGTCTAGGTTCGAGCAAAGTCAAGACCAACATACAACATCTGAACAGCAAATTCACTACTTCCACAGCGTCGAATAAATCTGAATTAGAGCTACTCTCACGAAGATCCTTGTCGGCACATAAGTTTGAGAATAACCGTTCAAACTTTTCTTCCAAGTGTGTGAAGAGTACGTTAGAGAGTTCGTTAATATCTGCAAAGGTCAGTTTGATCCCATCATGACAAATTTCGAGGTCAAATTCATGCGCAAACTTGTAGCTCCACTTTGCATTCGAAGAAAATTTGTCGAGAAGACCATACAAATCCTTCAAGACATCGGGTTTTGTTCCCTGAAAAAAAAACATTATAGCCTGTGTCAGAACACAGAAAGCCAAATAGCAAATTGATTAGCCCTAATTATACCCACCCCAATCCCAACCAACCAAAAAATAAAATAAAATGCAAATTCAGAATTAATGATTACAAATTCAGAAACTGAACAAATGCAATAGAGGGAGCTTCGTTTTAGCTCCAATAGTTGGCCAAATCAATTTCTTAAAAAAATCATCCCTTTTGGGCAAAATGGTTCAAAGGCAGAGATCAGAAATTAGGGCTTAATCGGCAAGAACTACAGAACAAACAACAATTAACAGAGGAAAATAAGAAACTTCAATACCTCAGGGGATTGGATGCCGGGGAAAAGGGTTTTGAAATTGCAGAAATTATCAGGAAAATCTCCATTGGAACTTCGATTTCGAGCCCTTCTGCTACTCCGCCCACTCTTCGAACAACCCATCATAAATCAGTAAAAGCAAGAAAATTATTCACAAGCTCACGCACACACAGTGACACAGGTAGAAATTCTAGGTTTGGGCGCGAAATTTTGCACGGATTTTGCTTCACTTTTTTATTTAGGAACATATTCTATTCCCATCGTTTATTAAAAGAAATATTAATCAATTTCAATTTTATTTTAAATAAATTCGAAAATTAGAATGAGAAAAAGATTGAATTTTTATTCAAAATTTAAAGTAAATTTCGGAAGTGCAATTAATGAGCTTAAAGTCAGTAGTTAAAACATAATTTCAAGTTTAATAGGATGCATTATTTTGTTCTGGCATTTATAATTATTAATTAATTATACGGATTTAATTGTAAAAAAAAGAAAAAAAAAAAAGATAGTAACTTTTTTCCATAGATTTGGAAGCCAACAACCTTTAACTTCCCCACTACCCCCACATTCATTAATCCCCCTTCATTTGTCCCGTGTTTCTGACCACCACCACACACACACACACACACACACACTGCCGTATCAACAGTATAGCAGTAAATACTTTGTCACTTGTGTACAGAAAAACCGAAATTCACAGACCCCATTTAGAAATTTTGCCTTTTTTCTCTTCATTTGATGCCAAAGATCTGACCTTTTTTCCTAATCTCGATGTTCTCAACGATCAACAAGAAAAAAAAGAGAAACCCGTCTTTTTGTTTTGTCTCTCTATTGTATAATTAAGGTTACGAAAATTCAAGAATTATGCATGGGCTTAGCCGCCTGAGCAACGGGGCGAGCTCTGTTTCCCCGCCGTCCTCCCCCCGCCACCGTGTCAGCCGCGGCAAGGGCACCACCTCCCCCGCCGGTGGATGCGACGGTGGCGCGAAGAATTTCCGCGGCGGCGGGGTAGGGAGGGTGGAGATGAAGAATGTGGCGGAGAGGTTCCGGTATTTCTTGATCTCGGCATTGTACAGGAAAAGAGGGGTGCTTTTGTTTGCTCCGTTGTTGTATATAGCTGGGATGCTTATGTATATGGGTACAATGGGGTTTAATGCTATGAGTAGTGTCGGCGGCGGCGATGCGGTGGGGCCCGGTTCCGTGTACCGGAGCCCCGAGGTTTTCGAGAAGCTCTGGCCTTTTATGGAGGCTGAAAGCGGCAACCGAACCTCTAATTTGGTGATTTCTATTTTTCATTTTCTTTCTCTTTTTAGTTTATAGTATTATTTTGTAGTGTGTTGGCTGCAATTATGTTGTTTGGTTGGTTATTTGATGCACAATTTGGTTGAAATTAAAATGCATAGGAGAATTTCGCCTTTTTCGATTATATTTTTTTCGAAATGCTGGCTGAAAATCAGAGTGTGGTAGTTGGAGGGTGGATGAGTTTTCTATTTTTAATTATGCATCCTAAAATGCAAGATTTGAGCAATTCGTTATAAATGTTTGGGGTGATCGAGTAATAACAGGCTAATGATTTTTCATAAAAAAAAAATCGAGTTTCGTTGAACATTGGAGGACACGTTAGTATTTTGAGGAAAATTTTGTGCTCTTGTCGAAATGCAAATGATTTGGAGATCGGCTCTGCTTATGGAATATCAGATAAGCATGATTGTAACATGCTGATTGAATAGTTATGGTAACACAGTCGTGCATAGTAATCTGTGTCGAGAGTTTGTGTCACTATAGAGATATTTTTTCGTTTATAAATTGGATAATAAGAAATCGTTTGGTGAAATTGGAACAAATCTTATCGCTTTCTGAACATTGATTTCATTGATAATTGTTTTAGCGTATCCAGCTACTAAAAACGATATACAATTGTCTCTGGTTTTTTAATGAAATTAACGACGACTCTGCCATGAAATTATATGCAGTTATCGAATGTTTGGAATCCAAAGATGAAACAAGGTTGGAAGCCTTGTATCAAACAGACTGTTTCCCAATCAGGTTTGTAATAAAAACATTTAATCTTCTGAACTAACATATGATTTTGTGGTGGCCACGAGAAAACAGTGAATACTTGTATTGGTTAATATCGGATTAATTACGAGCCTCCATTTTTTTTAACGTTATTTTTAACTAATTTACACGATGATCTCTACTTTATTTTGTGCACGGCGGGGTCTCAGAGTTGTCGCAGTCAAACGGCTTCCTGATAATCGAAGCGAATGGAGGGTTGAACCAACAAAGGATTTCGGTATGTCTATTGTAATATAATATTGTCCCTATTATGACAGTTACACATTTTGAATTCTTGATTATTATTTTATTTCCCCATTTTTTGTAACAGATATGTGATGCAGTGGCGGTAGCGGGTTTGCTGAATGCTACACTTGTTATCCCAATATTTCATTTGAATAGCGTCTGGCAAGATTCGAGGTGAGGATGAAAATATAGCACGGACATTTCGCGAGAATTTAGGATATATATATATTTTAATAAATATCGAACCATGATAATGTCTTTTGCAGCAAATTTGGCGATATTTTTGACGAGGAGTTCTTCATTTACGCGCTCAGAAACCATGTTAATGTAATTAGAAAGCTTCCGGAAGAAATACTCGAGCAGTACGATAATAATATAAGCAACATAGTGAATTTGAGAGTAAAAGCATGGTCAAGCCCATCATACTATCTTCAAAAGGTTCTACCGAAGTTGCTCGAGTGGAAGTATTAATCTCTCCCCTCTCTTCTTTTTTACTAAATCTTTTTTTTTTTCGATAATATGTTTTTAAATATAAAAACCCCTTTTTTTTTTATAATTGCGGCGGCAGGGCTGTACGGATTGCGCCTTTCTCCAACAGACTGGCCCACGCAGTTCCACCGCATCTCCAAGGCCTTCGATGCCTATGCAATTTCGAAGCACTTAGATTTTCCGAACCAATACGAATGCTTGCTGCTAAGATGGTTGATCGAATGGTCACAAATAGTTCTAAAAGTGGGGGCAGATACGTGTCCGTTCATCTCCGGTTCGAAGAGGTACTATTGGTTTTTTTTTTTTTTATGTTGTTTCCTATGCAGTGAAGAATCTTTGTTATTGTAATTTATTTTAATTTTTGATCTTGTAATGAAGGACATGGTTGCATTTTCTTGCTGCATATACGATGGGGGTGAAGAAGAAAAACATGACATGGATATTGTTCGAGAAAGAAGTTGGAGGGGAAAATTTCGGAGGAGAGGTAGAGTAATTAGGCCAGGTGCTAATCGTGTGGACGGAAAATGCCCTCTAACCCCCTTGGAGGTATGCTTTATATATTTATATATTTTTTGTTTATTTATTTTCTTGATTTATAAATGTGAATTCTTGATTTTATAGCTTTATAATTGTGTGTTAATTTATAGGTGGGAATGATGCTTAGAGGAATGGGATTTGATAACACCACCTCTCTTTACGTTGCGGCCGGAAAAATTTACAAAGTCGAAAAACATATGGCTCCACTAAAGCAGATGTTTCCAGGTTTAGAAACGAAGGACACACTAGCTTCGATTGAAGAGCTTGCTCCGTTTACGGTATTTAATATAATTATACAACTCTGCATGCAAAAAATGCAGTTTCTTGCATTTTAAGGTTGTAATAAAAAAAAATTAATAAAAAATAATAATTATCTTGTTATTTAGGGACATTCGTCTAGGTTGGCAGCTCTCGACTATACGGTTTGCCTACACAGTGAAGTTTTCGTTACAACTCAAGGGGGTAATTTCCCCCATTTCTTGGTAGGACACAGACGGTATTTCTACGAAGGTCACTCCAAAACTATAAAACCAGATAAGAGGAAGTTAGCTCAGTTATTCGATAAACCGAGTATAAGGTAACATGATGTTTTTTCGACGTAAGAAAATAACTCAATTCTTAATCGTTTTTCTTTTAACAATTTTTTTTGGTTTTGCACAGGTGGCAAGATTTTAAACGACAATTGCAGGATATGCTTCACCATAACGACGTGAAGGGGATTGAGCTGAGAAAATCGAGCAGCTCGCTTTACATGTACCCTATGCCAGATTGTATGTGCAGAAAAACGGATGCTAAAGTCGAGTACAGCAACACGACCAAAACTACGTAGCTTTGAGGAAGAAAAGACAGTTTTTTTTATAGGGGCTCGTATAGTCAGTTGTTAACAACAATTCATATAGCAATTTATATAATATAACCGGTATAGCTGTAAATCGATATATACATATATATCATAAAAATCAATTCTTTTCCCCTCTTCTTTTGAAAAACAGTTTACAGCTTTGTAATGGATACAGTTCTTCTGTTTGGTAATGAAAATCATTCTTTATATATTCATATTCATTTCAAGATGAAAGATGAATCTCTCTCTCTCTCTCTCTCTCTCTCTCTCTCTCTCTCTCACACACACACACACACACACAACACACTGGAATATGTAGGTTTTATCTGGGAAGTTCTTATTCACAGGTAGTGAGTGGTAAGGATTGAGTAAAGGGGAGAGAGAACCAGCCCTTAAAATATAGAAAGGGGCAGGCCAATTATTGCAATTGTGTTTGCCATGTTACAATCAACTCTTCAATAACTTAAACATAATCAACCAAGTCCTTTTTTTTTTTTTTTAAATAAATAAACAAGATTTATTTATAAAAAAAATTGAAAATGTTAGTATGAGATTAAAATCAACAAGGCAAATAAATGGCCCAAAAGTGGTTCCCCACCATAGCCAACTCATTTATTCATGCAGGTGAACATAACCCATGTGGGATCATCTAATCTTTAAATGCTACTAATTAACTTAATATAATCACTTTTTCTCATCTCAAAACACACACAAACACACACACACACATATATATACACACACAAGAGAGAGGGGAAGTGGAGCCCACAGCACAAGGGGTAGTGATCTGTAAAAGTGTACCTACCCACCAAATCCAACCCCATCCATTAACTACTTGTCTTTCTCACCAACTTGGTCAAAAATCAATACACACACACACACACACCCATCTTTTTATTTTTATTTTTTATTTATTTTTATTGAGCTTTTATTGGTTAATTACAAAAAAACCACCTCCAAACTACTGGCCACTAGTCTACTCACCCTCTTTATTAACTTCTTCTCTCTTCTCTTTCAAGTCTCATCATCCCATTGCCAAATCACCCCTCACCCCCACCCCTACCCCCACCCCCAAACCCCCATGTATATATATCATCTTTTTTCCATTTCTCATATGTAAAAAAGTTTTAATTATAATCCCCCACTTTCTCTCTCTACCTTCCACCGCTCTCTCTCTCTCTCTCTCTCTCTCTCTCTAACATCATTTACAGGAAGGGAAAAAGATTGGATTTTTAGGTCATGGGGCGGTCCCCTTGCTGTGAAAAAGCACACACAAACAAAGGTGCTTGGACTAAAGAAGAAGACCAGCGTCTCATCAATTACATACGCTCCCATGGTGAGGGCTGCTGGCGTTCCCTCCCCAAAGCAGCAGGTACAACCTCTTTATGCATGCCTCTGTTTTTTTCTTTTTTCTTTTTTTTCTTTCCAATTTTGGTTGTGTTTCAATTTGTAATTGGGGGTTTTCCTGATTTTAATTAATTTTATGATTTAATTGCAGGATTGCTTAGATGCGGCAAGAGCTGCAGATTGAGGTGGATTAATTACTTGAGACCTGACCTCAAGAGAGGCAATTTCACTGATGAAGAAGATGACATCATCATCAAACTCCATAGCTTGCTTGGAAATAAGTATGCCCTTTTTCTTTTTTTAATTTAATTTAATTAAAAAAATTATTGGGTTTGATTGATTGATTAAAGAATGCATTTTTAATTTTAGGGTTTGATTGATTGATTAAAGAATGCATTTTTAATTTTAGGGTTTGATTGATTGATTAAAGAATGAATTTTTATTTTTATTTTTTTCCGGCAGATGGTCTTTGATAGCTGGAAGATTGCCTGGAAGAACAGACAATGAGATCAAGAATTACTGGAACACACATATTAAACGTAAGCTTATTAGCCGTGGTATTGACCCACACACCCACCGTTCAGTCAACGCCGCCGCCACCGCCGCCGCCGGAACTACTAATATCGCCGCCACTACTTGCCTAGACTTCAGACATTCCGTTACTCCACCATCGACGAACGATCCCGACACCAAGAATATTCTCTGCACCCCCACAACAGATAACTCGTCATCAATTGATAACACCAAATGCAGCAGCAGCACAACGGAGGAGTCCCAACCACCGGCGCCTCTGCCTCCGCCGCCGCCGGCGGCGGCGGCGGAGGGTAGCACCGGCCTTGCACTAGACTTGGAGTTGTCTATAGGCTTGCCTTCTCAGTCCAAGTACACAAGAAGTGGTTCTTTCAACTTTTCGTGGGCTGAGTCAAAGTCTTTTAACGACTTCTTGAGGCCGGCGGCGGCGGCGATTGTGGCGGAGGCACCGCCCACGGCGGTGAAATTGGTGGCGCGTGCCATGTGCTTGTGCCGGCAGATGGGTCTTCAGAAGGGCCAGTTATGTAGCAATTGTCAATCTTATAATGGTGTATACAGATATTGCTGATTATGACTTTTATTTGTAAAAAAATCTTAGATTTAGATATTACCTTTCTTTTCATTTTCTTTGTTCTCTCTGATTTGGAGTTGAATCAAAATGTAATCACTCAAAATTATGAATATGATGTGATTAGTTGTTTTGGCTAATCACATGCTTATGCTTTTAATTATTACGTGGTCGGTTAAATGACGAAAAACCCCTCGTGTTTGGGTAATTACAATCATTCTGTTTAACTATAAATATTTTTATACGTTCACCATTGCGGTGTCAAATTTAGTGAAATATTCAAGATTATGTGGAATATTCTACAGTTTGTACCAGTTTTACCTCATTCGAGTCCACATTTTAAAATAAGATGATCATAAGATGTGTCATTTGGTTCGAAAATATCAGATTGTAGTGCATCAGAAACAACATTTTGTACAAAACGAGTGATAAGATTCATGATTGAAGGTTTGTTGTAAATTTGTAATTGGCTGCTAAATATTGGGAGTAGATTATAACCTACAATATTTAAATAATCAAAATTCAAAAGTCAATGAAGATGAATTATAGGATTAAACCTTTTATATTTTGGCTGACGTAATATTGTATAGACTTTAGAAAATTTCTTTTATTTAAATTTTGTAGTTAGCAAATTTGTCATTTAATTAGGTGTGGATAAGAACTAATTAAGAAGATGTTTTCAAATAAATTCCGTGAACATAGCATTCACGTATGTCCAATTACTGACTCAATAATCACATGTCAATATGAATTTATTTACTTTATTTAAAATTGTGATATAAGATTTTGATGGCTGAAAAAATTAATGTATGGAGTTGTTATTTATGATATAATTATGTTCGATTTACGAAAATATAATAGTAAATGTAGTGATTGGATAATATTATTTGAACGTTTAACTATTTTTTAAATAATTTGAATTAGTTGTTAGAAAGAAAAAGTTTGTTGAATATTTGAATTTGAACCTAAGAACCTAACAATAACAAACTAAATATTAACTAATAATTAGGTTTTAGGTATGAACTAATTCAAAACAAATATTAAGATAGCACGACTCGTATCACGGCTCTTCTTTCTTTACATTTTTTTAGAATTAATAAGTTGTTACGTCTTACGTTTAGAATTAATGTTTAAAGTATTTAGATAATGACTTTATAAGCTATTTTTAATCATCATATAAGATCTCCAACACTTTTTTTTTTTTAATTTTATGATTTTTTTAGACTTTTACCAAACACTTCGAAAAGACTTATAAGCTCTCAAATCTTATAGTCAGACTAAAAACTTATTAGTACACTATGTACTAGCTTATTGTTATGTACAATCTTATTATAGTGTTAATTAATTATTAATCATGTTTCTAATATTAGAATTTGAATTAATTGACCTACGAGTATCATATCTTTGCTTTTGCCATGAAAATCATATATATATATATATATATATATATATATATATATATATAATATGCTGACAGCTTTTGACCCACACAAATTCAATCCAAATGAATTTATTACCATTAAGAATCTACTATTGATTTCAAATGATAAGATTTCGATTATTGGAGATTCAATAATTTGACTTTACTACCACAAATATTGTCCAATCAATTCTTATCTAGGGCACTAAAAGAGTCACCTTTAAAAGATGTAGAAACTAGGGTTATAAATTGTCGATATTATCGGCCAATCAGTCCACTTTTGATCCATTTTTTTGGTCGGTAATCTCTTTTAGTCAATAATTTTTTTTGTTGTGTCGGTAATTTTAATATATCCATCGTTTCTCAAAATTTTAAATATCTTTTGGAAAAACTTTTTAAAAATCTTATTATTGTAATTTTTTTTGAATAAATAGATAGCCGATAGTACCACCAACCAATATCGCATTTAAATAAAATAAGATAAATATAACACGGCCCTAAATTTTCGAAATACACAGACTAATTAAACACGCACATGGTATTATTAGTTGAACTTATTAGATGTGTATTGGAATCTAATTCTTGTGACTATTCCACAGAAAATGGCGCATATTCCTCCACCTATATATACATACTCAGACACAAGAGACACAGAAATATATATATATATATATATATATATATATATATAAAATTGTGTGAGAGTGAAGCTAAATCAAAATGTAGCCCATTAAAATTCCTGATTAATTAATTAGTCAATTATTGTTGCTTGTTACATATATATTTTATTTAAATAAAAAGGAAAATAAAATATATAATAGAGAGATATCATGAATTGAAGAGCATGTGACATGTTTGGATGGTTGGTAAACAGATCTCTCAAAAGTTGCAGAAAATACTAAAATAGAAATTAGGAAAGAGAAGAGCTTGGTTAGTTAAAGGTAGGTGAATGACGATGGTGGTGCTGGTGGTGGTGGAGTGGTGGTGCATGGCGGCGGTGTTGAGGTGGAGGAGATATATGGTCAATAAATTGGATAATATTTCCACATTTCATTTAAAAACAATTACAAAGATTAATAATTAATATGATATGAAAGAAGAAAGACATTAAGGAAGTTGGCAGTTGGAAAATTATTATATATTACTCATAAATTAAAAATAATAATAATAATAATAAAAGAGGTATTAATTTCACATGCTCTCACCAAACCAATCTACTTTGCGGCGTTGTGAAGCTCTCTACCATGTGCTAATTACTTCTCTTTGTCAATTTTTTTTTCTTCATTTTTTTAGTCAATTTTAATTTTCATCACAGTAATAATTGCTGTCAAGATATATATATATATATATATATATATATATATATATATATATATATATATATATATATATATATATATATACACACACACACACACACGACACCTGTAAGAAGAGAAGCATCATCTGAAAGAACCATTGATTTAGTTAAATGTCTTGATGAACAGAACCATGCCACTTATTAATCATATTATAATTATTATGTTATAATTTCTAATTAAAAATGTCTTTTTCAGTTAATAACAATATAAACCACCTGACAAGACGTCTCATCCACACTCTAGCCAATCAAATCCTCTGTATCTGACTTTATTAACCAATTAATTACTAATAATTTAAATTATAATTAGCAAAAATATATAATCCCTGCGTGAACAAACCTCAAAAAAAAAAAAAAAGAAAAAAAAGGCTTCATAAAACATCAACTAATTAAATTATTTTAAAAATATACATATAGCCGATTAATTTTCTTTTACTAATTTTTCCATTATGATGATGCTAATTACTAGCTCACCTAGGGTGGTGTAGAAAACGAACTGGGAGAGCAAAGCAGATCAGTAGCTTGACAACTTGATGATCCTGAGGTACCTGCGATCATAGAACACATATGCTAAGCCGGGGGTTGATCCGGCGGAAACCCCTCCGACGCTCAAGTCAGACGTGCTGATCATAGAAATAGTCCAGAGAATACCATTAGTAGTACTGCTCAGATAATAGGACGTACCTTAATAAAATGAGTAAAACCTCTATTTATATGTCATTTATTGGGTTGGGTTTGCTTTGTTGGGCCCAAGCCTTACTTGAAGGTGTTTGGGCCTCGGTGATATTAGTCTTCGATATTGGGCTCGTAGCCCAGTAGGTAAAGAAATTGTAGGCCCATTGGGTTGGCCCAATTAGGCATATCATTAAGCCCCCCACTCTCGAGTCGATGTGGGGGCCATGTTGTAATGGGTCTCAAATCGTGTCGAGAGTAAAAATTGTAGAAGTCGATCGTTGGCGTAGTACCTATTTTTCTCGGCTCATTAATATTTTTTTGGTTTCTACTATTTGTTTTAAATTTATGTGTGACTCAATATTAATTTTTTTATTAAAAACAATATAATATACATAAATAGTGTAATAATGTTATTATAATTATGAAATGGTCCCTCGAATATAATTAATATATAAAATCGAGATAAAAAAAAGAAGTGGGTGTGGGTGGATATATCTTCTAGAAGGGGGGCCATGTAAGAACCCACGTTACTCGTACCTAACAGTTTGGCATTTTCTTTTACTTCCTCAAATAGTGCTAATTACTAAAACTCACCAAACCTTCTAGAAAGTACTTTGTCTTCTTTATTTGTATTCTTTCTAAATTCTGACAATACATACAATTCTTGATTGTGTGTGTGTGTGTTTTCTATTGATCAATTAATGTATAAGTCATCTAAAAGCCGAAGCCAGTTTGAGCTCGATTTGTTAACATACTGAACAAAGCTCGTTCGATAAATTATGAAACTTGATTCGATCCCGTAAAAGTCGTGTTGGCTCGATTAAAGATCGTTTGAGCTCGATAAACAGATTAGGGTGCATATGGTGTGGGCCCACACAAATGGGCCTTTGAGCTTACAAGTGTTGCAGACCGTTAATATTTACCCACTTATATAAAACATGTCATTGTTCAGCCCAACTAAATAAGGTAACCCATTATATAAAACAAGGCCCAATAATAAATAATGTTTTCTTGAAAATTATAGGTTTAATTTCACCTTGCACCCTCGAAATATACAATTTTGGTGCTTTGCACCTTTGGAAATAATTTATGGCACTTTACACCCTAAAAAACATGTTTAATCGTTCAAATTGCACCCTTCTTTATTTTCCGGCCAGAATTTCCATCGTTGAGCTATTTTTTGATTGTCAATATATTTTTGCTCGAAAAAATACATTTGCATTTTGCACCCCGAAGAAAAAACAACTGAATAGACAAAAATGACCATGTTAACGATAATAAAATAAGTCGACAACAAAAAATTATGGCAGGAAAATAGACAAAAAATATTTCTTGTTTCTAAATTACAAGTGTGCACTTTGAACGATTTTGAAGGTGCAAAATGTCATAAATTATTTTTGAGGGTGCAAAGTGTCAAAATGGTACATTTTGAGGGTGCAAGGTGAAATTAAGCCAAAAATATATTAGCTTTCCTAGATGCTACATCCCGGTGAAATACACATGGTGATTATTAACTGTGTGAAATAATTTTTCACTAAACACACATATAGACATAAATATGTGTGATTATATGCAGGTCGACCGACTACGACAATTATTAAGAAAAAAATGAAATAAAGAAATGCACAATCTTGCAAACGACACTAAACATGCAGAGATAGATACCGAATCAATTAATTGATTTTGTGGAATCTAGTCTCATAGAGTCTAGATATTTTATTTTTGTGTACACGTGTACTACTTGGATTCGTTACTCAATATTCTACTAAGTTCTTTTATTAATTTTTGAAAATATCAATATTAAATAATACATTTCTCTAACAACTAATTAAAATTTTAATTGAGATGGTCATTCAACATGGTATTATTCAACATGGTATTATTTAAGCCAGACGAAATAAAAGGAACAGAGTTTGAATCTTACTGCCAATCGTTCACTACTATATAGGTAAAAAAAACAAATAGTAAAAGGCAAAGAAACACACTAGTTGATACACTACATGTAGCAACTTTGCCACTCTCGATACATGCAAATATTGGATTTTTTTATTTTATTTATATATGAAAGAACAATATAATACATAGTGCTAAAGTTTGGTTGTCTTGTAACCCCAATACAACCACACCACCACTATTAAAATCAAAGATTTGTTTTGCTCAAATTAAAGATAATTAAAAGATTTGTTTTGCTCAAATTTTTTCTATATACAAATTAAAGAAAATTCAAGAAACAAAATTTCTCCGGTCAAGGGTAATTTAGTAAAAAAAACATATATTCCCCCTCTATATATACCTCCAATAATATTCTATATACGCATCACTTGTGCCAACAATATAATCTTGAATATTAATTATTAAGATGGATTCAAATGCTTTACTCCACGAGCTTTCTCTTCCCAAATTGCCCTCAAATATGATTCCACAGAAATTCATTTGGCCCAAAGAAAAAAACAACCATATGGACGACATTGCTAACCAAGAAGAACTCAACGAACCCGTTGTTGATCTCGAGGGTTTCTATAATGGTGATACTGAGTCGACTCGGGTGACAGCCGAGCTGGTCAGATCAGCTTGTTTGAGCCATGGTTTGTTCCAAGTGATCAATCATGGAGTCGATATGGAGCTCATAAACACGGTTAACGATGACGTTAGAGATTTCTTTAATCTCCCCATTGACGAAAAAATGAGGGTTCAAAGAGAGCCGGATAGCTTTTGGGGGTATTCGTTTGCCCATGCAGATCGTTTTTCGTTGAATTTACCGTGGAAGGAAACTATTTCTTGTTTCTTCCACGGAGATGGCGACCCTCGTGATTCCGAGGAAACTGCGTTTTTCAAATCAGCTTTTCGTCAAGAATTTGAAAACAAGGGGTAAGCGATTAATAAGTGTATATATATTTGATTTAAATGGCTCGATTCATTTATAACACTAAGCATGTAATTTGGTTTTCTTTTTTGTTTGTTTTTTGTTACGTTCTTGATAGATTGATATTCGAAAAGTATTGCGAGGCAATGAAGAAGTTATCTCTAACCATAATGGAAATCCTCGGAATAAGTTTGGGTGTAAATCGATCCTACTTCAAGGAGTTTTTCGAAGATGGTAGTTCCATTATGAGATGCAACTTCTACCCACCATGCCAAGAACCCGATCTAGCCCTCGGCACCGGACCCCACTGCGATCCAACGGCTCTAACCATCCTCCATCAAGATCAAGTTGGCGGTCTCCAAGTTTTCTCCAAGAACAAATGGAAATCCGTCAAACCTAGACCCAACGCATTAGTCATCAATCTCGGTGACACTTTCGCTGTAAGTCAACATTTTCTCGTACATAATATATAAATTGGTTCTTAGATCTAAATTAATCATAACATTGTTATATGTACATAAGGCGTTGTCGAATGGAGTGTACAAGAGTTGCGAGCACAGAGCAGTGGTGAATGAGAAAATGGCGAGGGTATCTTTGGTATTTTTCATGTGCCCTAAAGAAGACAAAGTGATTGTACCACCAAAAGAGCTAGTGAAGAAGAGGCAAAGGTTGTACCCTGATTTCAAATGGTCGGAATATCTTGGATTCACACAGAAACATTATAGGGTTGATATTGCTACCCTACCAAATTTCATTACGTGGCTCGTTTCCCACCACACAACCTAGCCCTAGCTAGATACCTACCTAACTAGGTCCTTTTTTAATCTATTTTTAATTATCGTATTTTAATTTCCTCGTGCAATAATTATCAATGGTAGTGTGTGTTTTGTATCTATTGGTGTGTACGGATTCATTTTGTGATGCGTGTATTGCTATTTTGAAGTTTGTTTTAAATAAAAGTTTCCGAATATATATATATATAGCCTTGTATAAAATTATATAATATTGGCACACATGGGAATTGATTGGTCAAATAATAATCATAATTAATTTGGGCTGCCATTTGTCCAACCCAATTAAACAAGGTAGTCCATTTCAAGCTAAATTAGCCAATGCAAAACCCAACAAAGAAAAGGGTAAATTACATCCAATCTCAAATTACGAAAACCCCCTTCTTGTTTGGATAATTACAATATCTCCCCTTCAACTATGAATCTTCTTCCATATTCATCCTCATGGTGTCAAATTCAACAGAATTTTCTAGATTCCGCGGAATGTTCTCTAGTTTGTACTCGTTTTGTGCAAAAATGCAGTTTCTGATGTACCACGGTCTGATATATACAAAACGAGAGATACATCTTATAATTATTTTGTTTCAAATGTGGAGCTCGAATGAGATAAAACGAGAACTAGAGAATATTCAACATAATGTAGAAGATTCTATTACGTGTAAGAAGGTTCATAGTTGATGGTGAGTGTAATTACTCAAATAGAAGGAATTTAATTTTACCTCAAGGGATAGTCGTATAATTTACCCAAAAAAAAAAAAAAGTCACATTTTATTACTCATTGAATTTCATCTTATATATAAAAGAAAGAAACGCTGGGCAACCCTAACAAACCCTAATGGTATTTCTGTAATTATTTATTTTTAATATTTTTTCTCTACTAATTTCTAACTATAATTTTAACAATTATCAAAATTAAAACTAACCATGAAGAATCCTACCTTATTGCTACTTATGTAACTATTTATTTTTAATATTTTTTCTGTACTAACTTTTTAACTATAATTTTCAACAATTATTAATCTCCTAATTTTCATCAATATATCTCAAATCTTAAGAGATAAAGCTAGAAATTGAAATTCAATATGAATAATACTACGTTATTAAATTTTATTATATTAGTGTACTATATTTTCTTATTATGTATTAAATTGATTATTTTTTCACTATTTAAATAATATCCCGTGCATCGCATGCACGTGCATCGCACGGGGGAAAATGCTAGTTTGGATAAATATAAATCTTCACATAAATATATTAACACCCAATGCTATTATTATTGTACAAAGTTTATTACAAATAAATCTAGAAACATCACACCTAGGCATAATCAAAGCATCAACAGAAAATCAAACTCAAACAATACAAAGAACTGAACTTAAGACATCAAAATATTATCTATCTCCCACCACCCAATGTTGGTACAAGTACAACAATCTGATCTCTAATGCTATCATATCCAGCAGCAGTACTTGTGCTATAACTACCATCACCACCATCATTAGCAACAAATTCGTTCAATCGATCACGAAGCAAAGATTCCGTCTCTTCTCCATCTTCCCCTTTCCGGGCCCACGCATGTTTTCCACCGAGCAAACCTTCCAACTCCATAGCCACCTCCTTCATACTAGGCCTATCTTCACCTTTCACATTTAAGCACCCTTTTGCCAGCTTAGCAACTTCCATTATCTGCTCATAATTATCTCCCACAATACTATCATCGACAATTTCGAGTATTCGATCTTGCTTTAGCAATGAAAGAAAGAAGTAAGACAGATTCTTCTCAACCTCCGGTTTGTCAAACCGTATTGCCCCCCTACCGGTTAGTAGCTCCAATAGTACAACTCCGAAACTATAGACATCGCTTTTCTCGGTCAATTGATTCGTTTGAAGATATTCAGGATCAAGATATCCGAACGTGCCTTGCACCACAGTAGACAGCTGAGTATGATCCACAGGAACCAATCTCGAAGCTCCGAAATCGGCCACTTTAGCTGTGAAAGTGTGGTCTAAGAGAATATTGTCTGATTTCACATCTCTATGTATGATTGGAGTAGCAGCTGCAGAGTGTAGGTACGAGAGCACACCGGCAGTTTCTGCAGCTATCCTTAAACGAGTCTCCCAATTAAGATAACGGGCCTTGTCTCGATTGTGCACGTGCGAAGAAAGTGTGCCGTTGTCTACGAATTCGTAAACAAGAAGGGGCACTTCGGTTTCGAAGCAACAACCGAGAAGCCTGACCACATTCCTGTGGTTGACTTGAGAAAGAACAAGCACCTCGTTTATGAATTGCTCGGTTTGGTTCGGATCGACTCTTTTGGACCTTTTTATAGCAACTATGGTGTTGTCTTGTAGTAATCCTTTGTACACAGTGCCGAATCCACCTTGGCCGATGATCATGTCATTATTGAAGTCGTTCGTCGCCTTTTGCAGCTCGGTTGAAGTGAAGATTTTGACCATGTCTGGAGATCTTCCTCTACGAGCTAGTTTTTCAAGCAACATCATGCCACCATTCCGATGGAAGTACTCTTCCTTTGCTTTGTTAGATCTTCGTCGCTTGAGCTCCAAGTAAAGTACGCAAACAGACAATAAAAGAACAATCACCCCTACAGCACTCCCTGTAATTTCAAGAATCCAAAACAAATTACGCATAAAAGTTAGTTAACATATCTTATTCGAACATACATCATGAACAAGAAAGATTAGACATATATTAAAAAAACCTGCAACGATTCTTAGTATAAGCGATTCACCACGCCTGCAACCTTCTACACCAGTCTTCTTCCCATCGCCACGGTACCCTTTCGGGCAACGACACTCAAAACTGCCTTCATTGTTCACGCATTCATAATCACCACACGCCTTTTTAAGATCCGGATCTTTACATTCATCTATATCTGCAAATTGATAAAAAGCACGATAATCATATATAGGCACACACACTATGAAAGAGTCGGAAAAAAAAAAAAAACAAGAAACACGGGCATATATACACATACTAGTACAACCATCGACGAGATACGGATTTCCTTGATAACCCTCGAGGCAACTACAACGATACCCGTTCCCGTGTATCGGTTCGACGCAGGTGGAGTTGGAGCTCAAACAAGCATAAGTAACATTGCCAGTTCCCATTTTCGCCGCGTCAGCACAAGTCAGGTTTTCCATTGCCCAATCAATAACCATAGGGAGCCTTGTAACATTCTTCAAATCGATGAGGCTTTGGTATGAAAAATTGAATGCATTTTGCTCAGCAACAAAAGCATATCCACAATCGTTGAAATCAGAAACATTTTTGTAATTACTAAAACTGCCCAAATCAATATCCATATCCCAAACATTTTGGGGAAGTGAAGTTTGACAGCAGCCCGAACCCGTACAGGAGCCCTCCATCAGATCCTCACGTGTATAGCACGTGGTCATGCAACCCGTCAGGTAACTCCGGCCAAGCCGCTGCCCGGAGACGATTCCATATGCATCACATCCCACAACCGTGACCTTATTAGCTGTATTACTGATTGTAAGATGTGTGAGCAAGGTTGTACTAGTTTCAGTGATGGAAGCCCTGCTGCCATTGGGATGGTAACAAACGTGCCCTATGAGCTTCATCACTGTCAGTTGGCCTTCGTCGAGACTTATATTTTGGATTTGCATTGTGCTTTCTCCTAAGAACAATTGTGGGGGGCTGAATGTTTCGTTGCAGACGACCATGAAACTGGGGCTTCGGTAACAATTTTCTGTGGTGCCGAATGGATATGGGATGCTTACGCCGCCGCACGTGGCGGCGCAACCAGGCTTTGTTATGGCCGGTAAATTTTGGGAGAGTGCTGGTTTGATCATAGCGAAGAAGAAGAAGAAGATGATGGAAAGAACCATCGACGGTAAGGTTTGAAGCACACTATCAAAACGGACCATCGTAATGTTTTTATTTTTATTTTTTTTATTTTATATATATATATATATATATATATATATATATATTTTCAGTTATATAATCATAAAAGAAAAGATTTATATAGAATCGATGATAAAACTATACATATATATACTACTAGTTTTTTGGTTTCATTTTTCTGAGTCAATGGATCGATCCAGTCTAGGTCTTTGGCAAGATTAATGAAGTTTCTTCGTAATTAATAATAAATATTTATCAGTTTACAACAAATATGAAAAATGACAAAATGTTATAATCATTGACTGACTACAATTTGCTTATTTTTCTCTTTCTTTTAATCTTATTTAATTGCAAATTTTATGCATGAACTAATTTTCTTTTTTAATTTGTCACGTTTTATTTGGTTAGAAATAGAAAATAGCCCAGTTCAGTTCACGTTATCAAATTAATTTTTTTTTAACTCAACTTTAGTATTTGTTTAACTTTTCTGATTTAATAAGATTTTATATCTACTTGTTAATATATTAAGCTAATAGTGAGATATTTGGGTTTATTATGTATCCAGAGAATTTTCTTCATTATTAACAGTCTTTGCATACAAAGTGACGAGTTGAATGGTGTGAATAAATCTAAAATTGATAAATGAATTTTCCTAATTTATGATCGGTTATATTGGAACGTCAAAATCTTGACTTAAACGAAGTCAAGTTCTTTTGTTCTTTTCTTTTTTTCTTAAATGAAGAATAGTTGCCGATTGTTAGATACGGCTGTAAACGAGTTGAGCCGCCGGCTCTTGAGCTCGAAGAGCCGATTCAAAATTAAATAAAATATGTAATATTCATAATATAATAATAAATACATATAATTTTTTTATTTTAACTATCAATTTTACTTTTTATTCTATAATTTTTTAGTATCATATAATAATAAATAAAATGAATCGAGCTCGAGCTCGACAGGCTCTACTAAACTCATATATAGATTTTTTTTTTCTCCAAGTTCCCATTCCAATTATATTATTATTACTAAAAAAAAGTGGAAGAATACAAGAAAAGGTCATTGTTGAGGGGAGAGAGAGAGATACTAGTTGCAAATTACAGGACCAGTATATAACAAATGCAGTCGCTAGAAAATTAAAAAAATCTTTTCTATAAAAGAAAGAAATACTGGACAATTCTATAAAAGTCTTAATGGTATTTTTTTAATTATATATTTTTAATATTTTTTCTGTTCTAATTTTCAATAATTATCAATCTCTTATTTTTCATCAATATATCTCAAATCTTAAGAAATAAAGATAGAAATTCGGTTTGTTAAATCTAAATCTATATATTTGGATTATAAATCTTCATATGTAAAATTTAAATAAACTAATTTTATATAAAACATGAATAATCCTACATTATTAAATTTTACTATGTTCGTGTACTATATTTTCGTATTATGTATTAAATTAATTTTTTTTTAACTTTTGAAATAATATTCCGTGCATCGCACGAGAAAAAAATGCTAGTAATAATAATAATAAACTGCTCACTTTTTATTCATTAATTTCATTTCTATACAAATCAACCTTCATATATTCATAATAGCAAAGTTATGTATACAAATCACAACATATATTTAATCAAATGAAGATGAAAAATCACTCATCACTTTGCAGCACTAATTATGCTATTAATTATTGTACAACAAAACAAACACACAATCAAACTCATGAGCAAATACTTTGTTCTATCTCCCTCCACCTAATACAGGCAGAATTACCTCTTGTCTAATGCTGTCATATCCAACACTTGTGCTATTAATGCTCCGCTCACGGAGCAAATATTCCGTCTCGTCTTCATTGTTTCGGGCCCACGAGTAATGTTTCCCGCCGAGCCTCAAACCTTCCAACTCCATAGCCACCTCTTTCATACTAGGCCTATCTTCACCTTTCACATTTAAGCACTCTTTTGCCAGCTTAGCAACTTCCATTATCTGTTCATAATTATCTCCCACTTTACTATCATCGATAATTTCTTGTATTCGATCTTCCTTTAGCAACGAAAGAAAGAAGTATGACAGATTCTTCTCAACCTCCGGTTTGTCGAAGCGTATCGCCCCCCTACCGGTTAGTAGCTCCAATAGTACTACTCCGAAACTATAAACGTCGCTTTTTTCGGTTAATTGATTTGTCTGCATGTATTCGGGATCAAGATATCCGAATGTACCTTGCACCATTGTAGATAGTTGAGTCTGATCTTGAGGAACCAGTTTCGAAGCTCCGAAATCGGCCACTTTAGCTGTGAAATTACTGTCCAGAAGAATGTTGTCCGACTTGACATCTCTATGTATGATTGATGTAGAAGCCGAAGAGTGTAGGTACGAAAGCACGCCGGCAGTTTCTGCAGCTATCTTTAAACGCGTCTCCCAATTAAGATAGCGGGCCTTTAACGGATTGTGCATGTGCGAAGAGAGTGTGCCGTTGTCGACGAATTCGTACACGAGAAGAGGCACTTCAGTTTCGAAGCAACAACCTAGTAGCCTGACCACATTCCTGTGGTTGACTTGAGAAAGAACAAGTACCTCGTTTATGAATTGCTCGGTTTGGTTCGGATCGACTCTTTTGGACTTTTTGATAGCGACTGTAGTGTTGTCATGCAATAATCCCTTGTACACGGTGCCAAAACCACCTTGGCCGATGATCATATCGTTACTGAAGTCGTTCGTCGCCTTTGGCAGCTCGGCTGAAGTGAAGATCTTCACCACGTCTTGCGATCGTTCTCTTCTAGCTAGTTTTTCGAGTAACATGAAGCCACCATTTTGAAGAAAGTTCTCTTGCTTTATTCTGTTGGATTTTCTTCGTTTCAGCTCCAAGTACAACAAGCAAACAGCCAATAGAAGAATAATCACCCCAAGAGCAATCCCTGCAGTTTATTACATATATGTTTCAAGAATCGAAAAAACAGACTTATACATTAAGCAAAATTAATGTTGCCGTAATGAAATCGAACATCGTAAACAACAAAGATTAGACAAATTAGTTCAACTATGTATAGATATAACCCGGGCACCTGCAAAAATTATTAACAAAAGCGATTCGCCAGGCCTGCAACCTTCTCCAACTTTCTTGCCATCGCCACGGTACCCTTTGGGGCAAGTACATTCAAAAATAAAAACTGAGTCACAGTTTATTATTATTCATTGAATTTCATTTTGATACAAATAAACCTTCACATAAATATATTAACACCCAATGCTATTATTCTACAAATTTTATTACAACTAAAATCTACAAACATCACACCTAGGTACAATCAAAGCATCAATAGACAATCAAACTCAAACAATACAAACAACTGAACTAACTTAAGACATCAAAATATTATCTATCTCCCACCACCCAATATTGGTAGAACAACCTGATCTCTAATGCTATCATATCCAACAGCAGTACTTGTGCTATAACCACCATCACCACCACCATTAACTACAAATTCGTTCAATCGATCACGAAGCAAAGATTCCGTCTCTTCTCCATCTTCCCCGCTCCGGGCCCACGCGTGTTTCCCACCGAGCCTCAAACCTTCCAACTCCATAGCCACCTCCTTCATACTAGGCCTATCTTCACCTTTCACATTTAAGCACCCTTTTGCCAGCTTCGCAACTTCCATTATCTGCTCATAATTATCTCCCACGATACTATCATCGACAACTTCGAGTATTCGATCTTGCTTTAGCAACGAAAGAAAGAAGTAAGACAAATTCTTCTCAACCTCCGGTTTGTCAAAGCTTATAGCCCCTCTACCTGTTAGTAGCTCCAATAGTACAACTCCGAAACTATAAACATCGCTTTTTTCGGTCAATTGATTTGTTTGCATGTATTCAGGATCAAGATATCCGAATGTGCCTTGCACCATAGTAGACAGCTGAGTGTGGTCTATGGGAACCAATCTCGAAGCTCCAAAATCGGCCACTTTAGCTGTGAAAGTGTGGTCTAAGAGAATATTGTCTGATTTCACATCTCTATGTATGATTGGAGTAGCAGCTGCAGAGTGTAGGTACGAGAGCACGCTGGCAGTTTCTGCAGCTATCCTTAAACGAGTCTCCCAATTAAGATAACGGGCCTTGTCTTGATTGTGCACATGTGAAGAAAGTGTGCCATTATCTACGAATTCGTAAACGAGAAGGGGTACTTCTGTTTCGAAGCAACAACCTAGTAGCCTGACCACATTCCTGTGGTTGATTTGAGAAAGAACAAGCACCTCGTTTATGAATTGCTCGGTTTGATTTGGATCGACTCTTTTGGACTTTTTGATAGCGACTGTAGTGTTGTCATGTAATAATCCCTTGTACACTGTGCCGAATCCACCTTGGCCGATGATCATGTCGTTATTGAAGTCGTTCGTCGCCTTTTGCAGCTCGGTTGAAGTGAAGATCTTCACCATGTCTGGAGATCTTTCTCTACGATCTAGTTTTTCAAGCAACATCACGCCACCATTCCGATGAAAGTACTCTTCCTTTGCTTTGTTGGATCTTCGTCTCTTGAGCTCCAAGTAAAGTACGCACGCAGACAATAAAAGAACAATCACCCCTAGAGCACTCCCTGTTTATACATGTAATTTCAAGAATCCAAAACAAATTACGCATAAAAGTTAGTTAACATATCGAATCGAACATACATCACGAACAAGAAAGATTACAAAAATTAGTTAAGCAACTATATATTCAAATAACCTGCAACGATTCTTAGTATAAGCGATTCACCACGCCTGCAACCTTCTCCACCTGTCTTCCCATCGCCACGGTACCCTTTTGGGCAAGGACACTCAAAACCGCCTTCATTGTTCACGCATTCATAATTACCGCACATCTTTTTCATGAGAACCGGATCTTTGCATTCATCTATATCTGCACATTACACAAAAAGTACGATAATCGTAAGCACACACACACTATGAAAGAGTTGAAAAAAAACAAGAAACACGGGCATATATATACACATACCACTACAACCATCGACGAGATACGGATTTCCTTGATAACCCTCAAGGCAACTACAACGATACCCGTTCCCGTGTATCGGTTCGACGCAGGCGGAGTTGGAGCTCAAACAAGCATAAGTAACATTGCCCGTTCCCGTTTTCGCCGCGTCGGCACAAGTCAGGTTTTCCATTGCCCAATCAATAACCATAGGGAGCCTTGTAACATTCTTCAAATCGGTGAGGCTTTGGTATGAAAAATTGAATGCATTTTGCTCAGCAACAAAAGCATACCCACAATCGTTGAAATCAGAAACATTTACGTAATTACTAAAACTCCCCAAATCAATATCCATATTCCTAACATTTTGGGGAATGGAAGTTTGACAGCAGCCCGAACCCGTACAGGAACCCTCCATCAGATCCTCACGTGTATAGCACGTGGTCATGCACCCCGTCAGGTAACTCCGGCCAAGCCGCTGCCCGGAGACGATTCCAATTGCATCGCAACCCACAATCGTGACGGTATTAGCTGTATTACTGATTGTAAGATGTGCGTCGGGCAAGGTTGTCCTAGTTTCTAAGATGGAAGCCCTGCTGCCATTGCGATGGTAACAAACGTGCCCTATTAGCTTCTTCACCGTCAGTTCGCCGTCGAGATTTATATTTACGATTGGCATGTTCAGTAAGAACAATTGTGGGGGGCTGAATGTTTCGTTGCAGATTACCTTGAAACTACGGTGTGGGTAGTGGCAATTTTCTGTCGTGCCGAATGGATATGGGATGCTTACGCCGCCGCAGGCGGCGGCGCAACCTGGCTTTGCTATGGCCGGCAAATTTTGGGAGAGTGCTTGTTTGATGAAGAAGAAGAAGATGACGGAAAGAATAATCAACGGCGGTAAGGTTTGAAGCACACTATCAAAACGACGTCGTGCCATGGTGTATATATATTTCCAGTTAAATCATAAAATAAAAGATTTATATAGAATCGATGTGGGAGAAAAGTATATATATATATATACTACTGGTTTTTTGGTTTAATTTGTCTGAGTCAAAATGGTTCGATTTTGTCTTGGTCTTTGGCAAGATTAATGAAGTTTCTTCGTAATTATATTTGACTGAGTGCAATTTGCTCAATTTTTTTAATTTTAATTTTAATTTTAATCTAATTTAACTGCAACTTCATGCATAAATTAATTATTTAATTTGTTTTCGAATTAATTTAGTGTTGGCTGGCTGTGACATGAGTGGAGATTCATCTCAAGTCGTCAATGGCGGGATTAATAAACAATTTTGTTAATTTGTCACGTTTTATTTCGTTAGAAAATAATTTTTTCTTAACCAAATTTAATAAATTTTTTTCTATTTTAATTAGTTTTTAGAGTTTTAGTAATATTTTATATCTATTTCTTATCTAATAGTGAGAAATTTGGATTATGGTGGAATTATTCAGAGATTTTTCTTTATTTTTTTTTCGTGGAGTTTGAATTTTTTTTTTGTTAGTTGGTTGATATTTATTAGTTTTTTTCATTTTTGCATATTGATGATTGATGTGAATAAATATAAAAGTGGTTATGGATTTTCTTAATATATGTCCGGTCGTAGGGTGTCAAAATCTTGACTATAAACCAAGTCAAGTTCTTTTTTCTTTTTCTTTTTCTTTTTCTTTTTTTCTTTTTTTCTTTTTAAATAAAGTAAAGTTTGCCAGTTGTTATATATAATGACAGTTTCTATTTTGACAGCGTTATATATTTCAATTTTGATGCAATGAATTTAATGATTATTTATATTTTTTTTTTCTGTGGCTGCTGATGATTTATTTATGTTTATTCGGTCATTGAAATTCTTTTAATAATATCACCATTATTGATGTTATTATTAGTGTCCGGGTCCAATCTATTGACCAACTTATTCGATGCTACACCCGATGAAGTTTACTAGGTAATTCTTATCAGTTAGTATGCAAATGCGCTGCTTATTCGATGCTACACCCGATAAAGTTTACTAGTTGATTCTTATCCGTTAGTCTGAGCGTATTCACACACGTGTATGTGTGCTTAAATAAGTCAAACAACATAAACTACACTTGAGAAAATAATTGTCAAATTAAAATTTCAAGAAAAAGAAATCAAGAGTTCTTGAAGAACTTTGCCAGGTCTTTTTAGGGTTCTTTTTTCACCATGCCTTAGAAAATCCACAAAAATTCCCCCAAAATAAAAACCCAAATGCTACAAAACAAAGCAGCAACCTATATATACAGAGTCCCACAACTGAGTCAACTACATACCTAGAAATCATAAGAAAAAAAGTCAAACATCTTTTTACACGACGAAATAAACACATTACGACATAACCGACATGGCCCGTCTAAAATCGAGCGACTTAAGTGCTGAATCGGGGAACGGCTGCGTACCAGGCATCCACAAATTTCCATTATGGGGCATCAATACCTGACGACCTCAGTTCTTATTCATTAATTTCATTTCTATACAAATCACAACATATATTGTTAAGTTTGAGCCCAATAAAATGATCTATCTGTGACCTGGGCCAAACACTTAATAAATATAAGCTCAATTCGTGAAATCGGGCCCAGTGCAACATAAGGCCCTGATCCAGTCAAACTTCAATCTGGACCGTTTATTGTGGGGTTTCAATCTGAGCCCTCCATTTGCCCCATTCTTCTACTCACCTCTCAAACCCTAGCAGCACTTCTCTGCTGCGCCGTTTCTCTCTCTTCACCTTGTCCCCTTCTCTCTCTACGGTATATCGTCACTCATTATCGTTATCCGGCGACACCGTCGCAGGTCTAGCCGGACAATGGGTATCCTTGCCGTCGCAGCTCATTTAATGCTGAAGACCGTTGAATCTTCGTGTATAAATACTGTAGTGAGAGAGAGACATGGGTGATTCACCTTTTATTCAAACCGAGACTTTTCTGGCCTTAACCCTCTTCTGTGAGGGTTTTGGCAGTCTGAGTGCATAAATCTGGGTTTGTGCTGAGTGGAGAGGGTGAGTTATTCACTGAGTTGACTGTGCATGTGTTGGTGAGTCAACTCAGAGTGAGTCTTGGGGGTCAGATCTAGGGTTTTGGATCAGTGGCTGTTGCTTGGTGCTTGTTTTCAGTTGGTGTTACCACCAGACCTTGGATCGACTGTATGAACACTGGAAAAGGAAACTGAGCCGTTTTTATTCATTATACTGTTTCATTTCTCTCCCTTTTGTTTTAAACTGTTCTACGGATCTATGGCTGATTTTGAAAGAACCTGTACCTAACAGTGGTATCAGAGCCATGGCCCAGACCTAACCATGTGGTGGAAGTTGCCGGAATCTATGTGAAATTCCCGAATCCTCGGTGCCGAACAAATATGGTGAGCTCCCGGTGCGCAAAATGGTAGACGAGCTCCAGATGGGAGGCTCGGTGATCCTTAGTGTGGTCCGACCTATGTGGTCCTTTGTTCGAGGCTTGGTGCGCGAAACAAAGATGGTGTGAGCCACAGGCGCAAATTGATGGGAGAGAAGCAAAAGATTCGAGAGTCCAGGCTGAGCTCGGTGGTCCTTTGTGGTCCGACCTATGTGGTCCTTTGTTCGAGGGGAGGATTGTTGAGGTGCAAACAATGTCCCACATCGGTTTAATATGGGAAAGATCAATGGTTTATAATGAGGGGATAACCCTCCATTGGTATGAGGCCTTTTGGGGAAACCCAAGAGCAAAACCAGTTGGGCCCGGCCCAATCTGGACAATATCATACCAATGTGGAGTTTGTGCTATCCCGGCGGGACCCAACAATGGTATCAGAGCATCAGTTGGGCACTTGTGTCAGAATATACTTCCGTTGTTCTATGAAATCTGGGCCAACTCAGGCTATCTGCCACACCACCGTTGTTCTCTGAAATCTGGGCCAACTCAGGCTATCTGCCACACCAAACTTCCCTTGTCCGGACCGCTTAGTGTTCCAGGAATCTGGAGAAGGGGGGTAGTCTGAGATAGCCCAGCCTTTCGACCGGTTTCTTTGTTGCCTCCTGCAACGCTTGGCTCACTGTTGGGCCTTCCGGGATCATCTTGTGTGTTTTTTATTTATTTCTTGTTGCTGTCTATGTGCAGCTTGTGTGATTTTATTTTATGTTGCTGTATGTGTGCAGCTTGTGTGCCTTTATTTTCTGTTGTTGTTTGTGTGCAACTTGTGTGCTTGTGTGCTACTTGCTTGTTTTTGTGCCTTTTTTTTTTTTTTTTTTTTTTTCCTTCTGTGTGAAAAAATGAATTCTTATCTTGTGGCTTCATTTGATGGTAAGGGTGATTTTGCTATATGGAAACAGAAAATAAAAGGTGTGTTAGTCCAACAGAAATGTTTCAAAGCCATAACTCAAACTTATGATGATAAAACTACTAAGGAAATGAAAGATGATCTTGATGAACTTGCTTATTCCCTGATTATTCTGAACTTATCTGACTCTGTGATTAGAAAGATAGGTAAACTTGATACTGCTAAGGAATTATGGGATAAGTTAGAGGAGCTTTATACTGAAACCTCCTTACCCTAAAAAATGTTTTTACTGGAAAAGTTTTTTAGAGTTAAACTTGACTTGCACAAAGACATAGATGAAAATCTTGATGTTTTTACAAAACTTGTGCAAGATATAAAATTAACTGAGGATAAAAATATTGATGAATATACCCCCATTGTCCTTTTAAATGCTATTCCAGATTCTTACAGTGATGTCAAATCTGCAATTAAGTATGGCAGAGACAAAGTGACTCTGGATACTGTTATAAATGGTTTGAAAAGCAAGGAACTCGATTTGAAAACAAACAAAAGCAACAAGTCTTTGGGTGATGTAAACTTTGTGAAAAACAAGTTTTCAAACAAGGCTCCTTCTTGCAGTAACCAAAATTTTCAAAAACCAGATAAGGGTAAATGAGGGAGTAAGAATAAGCTCAAACATAGGAAGTGTTACAACTGTGGTAATGCTGGTCATTATGCTAATAGATGTGCTGAACCTAAGAAAGAGAATAAGGCTAATAATGAACAGGCTAACCAAGTTGCTGAAAACATGGGTGATGTGTTTGTGATTATAGATGAATATCTTGATTTTGTGAATTCTGTGTCTGCATCTTTGATTGATAATGACTGGTTGATGGATTCTGCTTGTATAAATCATATGACACCTCACAGAAGCATGTTCTCTTCTTATGTTGAATTGAAAAATGGGTCTGTATCCATGGCTGATAGTAGTAAAAAACATGTGCTAGGTATAATAATTGTATGTCTGAAATTTCAATCTGGATTTGTGCTTAACTTGAAAAATGTGAGACATGTTCCTAAACTTAGTAGTAATTTGATGTCTTGTGCTATCTTGGAGGATTTTGGGTATAAGGAACCTTGGGGTGATGGGGTTATGAATATTATGCATGATGGTTTGCTTTTTTTTTTTAAGGCTGTTAGAATGCACAATATGTATGTTGCATCTGCATTATCTGTTTCCCATGTTAACTCTGTCCAGCATGACATGACTGATCTTTGGCATAGAAGATTAGGTCACATCAGTAGTAAGGGACTAGGGATTTTGCATAAAAACAACTACTTGAGTGGTGACATTGTTGTTGATATGCCTTTGAGTGATTCATGTGTTATGGATAAACAGTCTAAAGTGAAATTTCCTAAATTCCCTTTCTTTAATACTTCTAAGTGCACAGAAATCCTTGAACATGTTCATGCAGATGTTTGGGGTCCTGCACGTGTCTCCACACATGGTGGAAACAGATATTTCTTGTCTGTTGTTGATGATTTTTCAAGAAAAGTGTTTGTTTTCTTACTTGTGCAAAAGTCTGATGCTTTTGATAAGTTCAAATCTTGGAAAACCTTTATTGAAAATCAAACAAACAAGAAACTTAGAACCCTTAGAACTGATAATGGCAGTGAATTTTGCAATCATGAATTTGATGCTTTGTGTGCTGAGTTTGGCATTAGAAGACATATGACTG